CCCTTATTTATTTTTAAATTAACAATTTAAATTATGCTCACAATTTGAAAATCACTTACAAATACCAAAATTGAGGTACCAAATATATAAGAGAAATTGTTATTTTTCTAATTTTATCTTTTTATAAATAATGTTCATGAATTAATGGAAATGTAACTCACCGGCGACAATAGTGACACAACTCAAAAAATTAATGTTAGAGAGGTTAGATTAGGTTGAAAATGAGTGAGATGTTCTCATCGCCTTTCAGTGCGACCCAGATGGATCTATTGTGGTTCATGACTCACTTATAGTTCACAGTACAAGCAACACTTTTTGATGAAGGCCATGGTCGAATTGGGTGAGACTTGTTTAAAGTCGGTAGGCTCCCGTCGAGTGAATTCGAAGATCTGGAACCTGGTTCTTTTCAAAGCGGAGCAGGTATATAAAATGTGCTCTGTAGATTCGTCTTATACGCTGCAGAATCGACAGTCCGATGTTTGTTGCAGACCTATTCTTCTCACGACAATGCCCTGTCATCAGTCCTGTGAAAATGCGTAGATCTTTCCTACTCTATTCTTGGATCTGAGCAGAGGCGTTCATTCAAGGATTGGTTATGAACGTCTTCAAATGAGTTAGTCCTAGGGTACCTCTTTAGTTTATAAGTGTTGTATCTTACGTCCATTTTGAGATAATTTCTTTGCAATGCCCAGAAATGGTTCTGGCTCTATGAACTCAGTTTCAGTTTCTCTTTTAGCGAAAGCGTCGGCTTTTTCATTAAGCCCCACACCGCTGTGTCCCAGAACCCAGATCAAAGTAACGAGACATTCAAGTGTATTTATTCAGTTCCAAACCAACTTTGCTTCAACTCGACTGGAGCCCAGGGCCTTGAGGACTGCCTGGCTATCCCAAAAGATCCTTATAGTCTCTTTTGCGGAAAGAAAATTATTAAACTCTCTCGCTCCCAATTCTATAGCAATAATTTCTACTTGGAATATCGTGGCCAGAGAGTCTAGGTTTATTGATATGTCAATTCTTGGCTTTTTGTTTTGGAGCCGTCTGTGAACAGCGCACAATCCCCCTGGGAGAGTTTTATCCCTCTGCTCCATACGTATCTCTCTGGAATGAGGACGTTGTATGGCTGTCGGGAAACCACCAAGTCTAAGACCATGTCGAGGATGTGGTGGTAATTAGTATCATCAGTCCCGTCTTGTCCCATCGCAGTTCTTCGATGCATTAATTATCTACCTTCAGGAGTCTCTAGGAGACTATCTTTGTCTCCTTTTCCAGCAAAATGTGGAAAAGAGTTAGTTCCATCATACGCTAGGGAGATAATAATCAGTATAAAAATTTTAGGTATTATAATTTTCATATTCCAAAAATATCATTTGAATAATATTAATGAGCTTTGGCTGTGATCACTAATGAGTTTTTGTGTGTTAACTTCGTATTTTCAAAAAGGTGATATTTTGAAAGGTATGCCAATATTGTTGACTACAAATGATACACAATTTATATAAAAACGCAGCTATTAACAACCCTGGCACATTTACTGAAATTGCAGGAAAATGTGCCTCTAATGCGCAAAGTCATCTGTGCCACTATTGCTCACAAACTACGACTTGAACTCAGAACACAGTCAGAGATAACTAAGCTGGTGATCAGTGTCTTAGACTAGGTAATAAAGAGAGGACTCGCGCGTTGCTGAAAATCTTGTTCCATTTTGACACCAACGATGTTCGACCAAAGGCGTAACATGTTTTTTTTTAATTAAAATTTATGGCCTTGGCATTGCCATTTGGCCAAACTAAAACGCGTAACATGTTGGAAATAAAAAAACTAACTTGTATTTATGTTATTAGTACTAGTACTTCATTGATCTTTTTAGGCATAAAGCAAGTTCAAAGCGTAAAATTTAAAATAAATAAGTAACAATAAAAATAAGACACAAGAAAAAAATATATTGAAATAAACTGAATGAAATCGTTTACATAATAAAATGAGTGTTTTTTTTTTAATTCCGCCAAATAAAACATAATGATCTGCATGTATTAAAAAAAAATTTATATTTACTTAATAAAGAATGACACTACCCAGATAGCGCAGACACGTTTTAAAGTAATCTTAAATACGTTTGTTTACGACGTTCGTGACGTTTTGAAGATCTACGCTAATATCCAAAAGATGTTTTAAAAGCGTCTATAGGACATACTCTGTTACAAAACAAGGCGTCTTTAGGTCATCCAATTTTGTACGTATTTAAGACATCCAGTTTTGTACGTCTTGAAGACAAATCGTATTGGACGTTTTTAAGTCGTCTATTTACTTGATGGAAATTCGTTTAAACAAAATAAATGAATACTTGTCTAATATATTTAATACTGTTTATTATACATTATTAAAACTAACACAGAATAAATATTATTTTACAGTGTTGGATAAAATAATTAAAAAATGACTTCAAATACTTGTTGCTATGAGAAACTATTCCCGAAAATCCTACTTGTTCCAGTTTGGTCGATTTAAAAATTTCTTTTATGGTATTAATTTTAGCCAAAGCGTCTGTAACTAATGTCTCCGTAGCATATAATTTTGTTGAATTATTGTTTTAAGGTGTTTTCTAAAAAATAAGACATTATTAAAGTGAGGTTATGAAATTAAAATGCAAATAAATTAAAACTTACCGTTTTTAATGATAAAGTTTACTAGTTCCGGTATACCACAGTTCCAATAATGGCAAATAAATAATATAAAAAGACAATATATAAAAACACACAACCACGAAAAAGTAATGACAATATCTACAGACAGACGCTAAAAATATTGTACACTGGCTGTCCCGAGAAGAAGGCAGCTAGAGGAAGAACACGAGTCGATGCGCGCGCACGTGAATATCCAATCAGCCAATGACAATGACGAATGACGATCATACATGCGCTGCAGGCAGCGCCAAGAACGTTGTGGCGCCATATTCAAATATAGCGAAAAGAGTTGAACGTCTACATTACCGACATATTTAAAACGTCCTAAACATATCACAACAAAGACGTTTCAAACATGTCCTGAGAAGGCGTCTTAAAGCCGTCCGTTTTACGTACCAAGACGTTTGGACGAAAGGAAGACATGAACTGGACGTCTTTAAGATGTAGTGTGCTATCTGGATATTATTAAATTAATCTAGTACGAAAAATTATAAATAAATGAAGATACATTTATTACTGGCCCTTAAATAATACTAATTTGGTACAATAACAAGAAGTTTTAGCTGACAACTCTTTTTTTTATATCTTTTAAGTTTTTGTTTTTGTTTTTTCTTTTTTACCTGTTGTAAAAATTGTCTTCTAAGCCGTTTTACGCTAGGGTTTTCTAGGATAGATTCCTTATTTAAAGTTCTATTTGAAGGGCCTGGCACAACTTCCAAATGCAATACTCTTCTTTGTAAGTACTACAAACAATCAATTATTACGGTAAAATTTTGAATTATACACAAAAGAGTTGCTAAATTCTTAAAAGTTTATAACATAATAATGAAAAGTAATTAAAAAAATATATATGTTTAATTATGGTTTTTAGTGCGCACTTTCTTCGGCTGCATGTATTTAGAGAATTCAGGAAATATAGTGGGAACTGCTCCATTTAGTAAACGTCTCATAAAAAAATGTATGCCAAAATGTTTTGAACACAATCTATCATTTGGCGTAGGCATCCAATTTGCAATTTTCGTTGCCTGAATCCAAAGATTTTTTGCTGGATCCACAGGAAATCTAAAATAAAACAACAAATAAACATTGCTGCAATTAAATAAAAAGCAAAAGTAAATTAGAATTTAATAAAAGTTAATATTTAGAATTGTACGACACGCCACAGGAAAAAATTACATATTTGGCGATTTTAATATCATTAATTGCTTAAATATCAATGAAATGCATAAAATAAACAAACTTGGTGGGTAAAATTTATTACTCTGGACTGAGACTTGTACAATATGTAAATACCAAGTTGTATAACACTAAATAAAATGAAAAATATAAGAAAATATATAAAGTGAAAACGATTGATGTTTATCATTTACCTGTGAAAGGATATTACGTTTCACAGGCTTCTTTCTTGCCGCTATAACTTTTACACTGATATGCCAAACAATAAACCATTGTAATAAACCAATTATTAAATATCGTTTAATTCAAAAATCAGACATAAACACGAAAAAAAATTTTGGTGTCACCGAAATGGTTAGCACTAAAATAATGGTGGCCAATAGATAATAGGCACAGAATACATGTGCTCGATATACTTGTTACGCGTCCTCTCTTTATTACCTAGTCTAAGTGATGCAGCATGTGGGCGAAATATGTATTACGCCTAGTGGCCTATACGTCATCTCAGGGAGACTTAACTAATTTTGTGCCAGTTTTTTTGGATGTAACTTCATCAAATTTCAAATAAAATGAAAGTGTTTTAGGCGACTATTGTCGCCGGTGAGCGATGTGTTGTTTTTAATACATCAAGGTGTGACAAATTTTATTGTAATTGATACAAAACTGTAATTTATGACAGTGGCACATCTTATCAAATTCAACTTAAAAAACAAAAAATTGAATTAAATCGTTCTCTGTAAATTTATAATGTAAAAACTAAATCATAATCGACCTTAAACTTCAAATTCCTATTTATGCTTTATCAATTTTGATAAAAGTAAAATCAACAATATTTAAAAACTCAAATTTCTTCAACATTACTATTTTTGAGATGTGTCATTATTACGGTCGGTGAGCGATATATCCACTGATATATCTCGTCAAACCATTCATTGTATGGTTCATTGCATGGTTAGATTGGACATGGATATGTTTCCTGTTGTAATAACACGTTACCGCATATAAGCAGAATGCGTTTCTATATGAGAAAGAAAAAAAATCTGAAAGTGTGTGGCATAATATTAATATTGCAGGTACACGCAAAAATCTCTGAAATTGCCTTTTTTTATTTTTTTCAAACATCCTGTATGTTTGTGATTTGATATTACCTTTAGAAAACACAATGTGCGTAAATTTGTTTGTCAGATATGGCAAATACTTCACTTATTGTATTATCAATTTAAACAACAAAAAATATTGTTTCAAATGATCTCAATATCGATACTGTTTCTCAATAACTATTTAAGTACTGCAATACACTTAAAAAATATCATTTGCGCGCTTGTTCGAAGATTGGTGGTTTATTGTGTTTCAAACTTTAGCAAAGATGAATTCTCGTTCTTTAACATATTTACCCACTACTGTGCCTTTACCAATACCCGAAGAAGAGCTTTTGGATTTAGTTAACAAAGGTAAATATTTATGATAATAAAGTTGTGTAAAAATATCGTAAGGTGGTTTATAAGGGAAGTTTCTATCATAATGTGTCATAATAGTATATGCATAATTAAACAATGGTTTCATTATATACCAATAATAAACCTTAAATTATTATTCTTAAAGAGACTGCAGAATAGATACAGACAAATTAGAGGGGCTAAAAGTGTATAAATTGGATACTGTATAGAGATTTACATATATATCAGTCCAGTTTATAGTTATAATTAAAAAAAATAAGAGATACGAAGCAGACACATGATAAAACTATTTAATACAGTAACAAAATAAAAAATTACTGGAGCCATTTACATCGTTCGTGTAATAACAAAATTAAGAAAGAGTTGGATTTATGGAAGATACAAAATTTTGAGAAAACTTAATATGGAGGCATAGCTGACTGAAAAGATACCTTAGTAAACTTGGACTAGTGCAGATTCTGTAAAGAGGAAATAAGTGGTTCCGGTGGCATTGAGATCTTAATTTCGAATCCATATACCCCATAAATACATAACATAACACAAAAAAAATAATAATGTAATAATGAAATATTAGATTCAGAAAATTCGATAATAGTATGAAACCAAATAATTAGATGATTATAACATATATTCAGAAAATGTAACAAGAATGATTTTAGAATGAGGAATAGGGACAAAAAAAGAAAGTGAAGACCCAGAAAAAAATGACGTGTAGCTGATACAAAAGATTTGAATTTAGTACTGGAGGCGAAAAGCAACAAGAAACGCTGAAAACAGGCATAGAAGCATCTGGTCTCATGAATTTGTAGAGCGAATGTCTGATTAAAGGCTGTTAGCAGCTGTATCTCATAATAATTTGAAATATACATTTAAAAAAAAACCGCAAAACAGGTCAGTTTTTATTCTAAGGGCATCTTTCTATGATACTCTTAATTGTCATACGTCATTTTTCTGCCCTTCCTCACTCTAACCAATACCAATACAATTTAAATAGGGGAAGTAACAAGAATGACTCATTAAAAAGATAATTTCATGGAGAATTCAGCAATATAAATGTTCATTTGATTTTAATGCCCTCTAGCACGAACAATTGTTACGAATTGTAAACTGTTACACTTCATTTGAAAGCTAATTTTAGTAGTAATTTAATAGATAGCATAAATTTATTTTAGTACAGTGTGAGGCTATATTAGGAATTTAATGGGGGCTTAATTCCGAATAAAGTTTATATTTCTTCACGGTTTTTCAATTATATAAGTTCATGTTTTATTTAATTTTGTTTTTTTATGTTGTTTATTAAATCACTATCTAATACAATTTTTAACCTCTCAGAAGGTACTAAAATAAAAAATAACGTAATGACTAGTCAGATTTATGAGTTACCCGTAAAATTACATTTTCGATGACCAAGTTATATCTACAAGACGGTTGGACAAATTCGTGTAGAACATAATGATACCTATCTACATTATTTTCAAAGTTATTTTGTAAAGTCATAAAAAAAACTATCTCCAAATTCATGTAGGTAAAACTAGCCATTCTAGGACTAAAACTTTGGTAGGATGACTATGGGTCCTATGATTGAACGTTTACGTTATCCGTAGGTAACGTACATGTTAGGCCGAGTTTTAAAAGTAACGAGGCAAGTTCGTATGATGGAAAACTTTTTCCAACACATTACTCCCATTTTCCACCTGTTGTGTTCTAATATAAAAGTTTTCCATCATACGAACTTGCCTCGTTACTGTTAAAACTCTACCTAACGTGTACGTTACGGATAACGTAAACGTTCAATCATAGGACCCATTATCTACTTAAATGCCAAATCAAATGGTTTTTTTGTCAACAAAGCATAACGTACCTATAGCGGGTAATAATGGTTTCAATTTCACAAATAAATTGTTAATTAAATAACCTTAGGTAAAATTTAAAAAACACGTTTTGAGTTATTTGCTGCTGGATTTCAATTTTCAAAAATGGTTGTTTAAAACGAATATATAGAATATTGCTGGCGAGGTAAAGGTAGTTAATTTAGGGAAGATCTTTTATTGCCTTACTAAAGAAGTGTGTAGAAGTAATGTAAATATTCGATTTGGTCTGTTTGAATATATTTAACGGTCTAGTACAGTGGTTCCCAAACTGAGAGCACGAAGCAATACTAAGGGAGGCGCAGGACCTATTAATATACATTTTTAAGTTTAGGGCCAGTTTTTTCACATTTAAGTAAAGTTAAAAGTAACTACTTGTTGATTAAACTATAGGGCTATTATTTGTTAATCTATCAAGTAAACTACACGTAACTTTACTCGGAGGTGAAAAGATCGGCCCTTAAAATAATAAAAATCTGATGTGTCCAACATATGACTTTTCTGTCTAGTTATTACAGGCTTTTCCGGTTATTTTCTACAATCTATTGTATCACCCCTGTAAATGTTCTGTCCCGAAATTAAACGGTCATATTTTAACAGCGTAATTTACATCCTAAAATAGGAGTAAAAGTTTATATAAATATAGGTCCGAAAACGTTTCTTTTCCGAGATACAGGGAGTTTAAAGTGAAGTCCTGATGACACACTTTTGTAAATATTTTCTAAACGTTTAAAGATAACTGAGTGGAATTTAATACAAATGCTTACCTTTTTACGCTCTATTTAATGGACTAAACCCCAGTTTTTGATGATCTTCATAGGTGGGTAAATAAGGAGGAGGCTTAGGGTAAAATTGCACTAAGTTTTTTGTTGACAGTTTTTAATATTTTTGACTATAAAATTTGGAAAACCAATGTTTTCTTTATAATAAAGCTACTTTTGTTGCATTTCGCTAGGACGTGCCATTTTCAAGAGAAAAGCATTTGAAAATTTTATGTTAAGTTATTCGAAAGTGTAAACAATAATTAGTAGGCCTGTGGAATCAGAAATTTGATTTTTTTTAAACTTGGGAAAACCGGTGACTATAGAAATTTTAGAAAATATTTACAAAAATCTGCCTTCAGGACTTCACTTGTAGCACCCTGTATCTCGAAAACGAAATGTTTTTGGATTTGGACCTATGTTTATATGAACTTTTACTCCTATTTTAGGATGTAGATTACGCTGTTAAAATATGACCGTCCAATTTCGGGACACCCTGTATACATTTTCCACTTACATCTTACTCGAAACATTTATATATATATATATATATATATATATATATATATATATATATATATATATATATATATATATATATATAACGCAAGAAAGAAGTCTTTGCTGACTCGTTAGGAAATGAACTTGAGTTATTGGGTTTGCAGCAAAACGAAATGTGTACTCTTATAAGTTTATTCCAAGCTTTCGAATGTGAATACATTCATCTTCAGGGATCTAGAATATTTATTACAGGAAAATTAAAATTGAATAATGAACAATTAATGTTTACTTACTACTTAGTGAGATTGGTTCGTGAAAAAAATGTTGTTGATAAAATTAATGATGTGATTGAAACTGTACTAGATAAACATTGACATGAACATTTTAGACGATGCATTGAAAATTTTTAAAACATTTTAAAATTATATACACTTTTTGCAACTAACTAGTTTAGTCGAAAATTAATAAAAATTTTTTGAGGTTACAATTGACCATGTGCTCTTTTCAAGTTCATGGCGCATGCGTCTGTCATTAAGTCAATTTGCCAAAAAAGAAGAAGAATTTACTTTAACTGTGTAAGACTAATGAGGTCCTACAGCCAATTATTTCAAAACGAAGGGGGTTGCATAAAGCTAATGAGACTTTATTACCAAACTACCCTTTCTTAATGGGAGGCGCACGTGTCATATACAATAGAACTGAACGACGGGTTGCTAAAAATTTTAATTTTATAACTATTGATTTATGAATAAAATTATATGAAACATAGTTAAAGATTTTGTTAATGTCGACAAACATGTCTGTTTCCTGAATCCCTTATTGGTAAGTTCAATGAGTGGTCGGTTAATGGGGCCTACCACGTATTGAGACTTGTAGATATATATATATATAAGAGAGTTGATAGTCGTTGCTGACTAGTTAATAATTTAACCAGTAATTTGTGGGTAATGCAGCAAATGAAAGTTTACTTTTTTAAGTTTATTCCAAGCTTTCGGAAATGTTTATTTCCATCATCAGGGAGACTAAAATAAAATAATACCACATATTATGATAAAGTAAGGTAAAATTTTTTAATTACTTACATCTTAATTAAGGTTGTTCATTATGGTGGTATTATTCATTTTAGTGTAAATATTCAATGGACAAGCTGAATCAATTACAAAATAATATACACAAACAATAATTACGATACTTTAAAACTAAAAAAATATAAATAACGAAAGATCAATTTGACAATTTGACATGACAAGTAAAATTTTAAATAAATAACAAGTTATTAAAGGTTAGGAAATAAATGTGGATAATGCTATATTTACATAACATTAATATTTTTTTAATGTTCAAAGAGTGATTTTTATATTAAATTAGCTCTGTATTATTTAAATTATGAATTTGGTTTGGTTTATTGTCCAAATCCAATAAATAAGAATAAATTTCACTTAAATTGTTAATATCTGTCTTTTTGTTCATAGAATTTGGTTCCTGTGAAATGAAAGCCATCTAATAAATATCAACATAATATAAATTATGACGAAATTAAAATATTAGCCATTGAAAATAACTACCATAAAAGACTTTTCTTGGAGATGGCTTTCATTTCACAGGAACCAAATTCTATGAACAAAAAGACAGATATTAACAATTTAAGTGAAATTTATTCTTATTTATTGGATTTGGACAATAAACCAAACCAAATTCATAATTTAAATAATACAGAGCTAATTTAATATAAAAATCACTCTTTGAACATTAAAAAAATATTAATGTTATGTAAATATAGCATTATCCACATTTATTTCCTAACCTTTAATAACTTGTTATTTATTTAAAATTTTACTTGTCATGTCAAATTGTCAAATTGATCTTTCGTTATTTATATTTTTTTAGTTTTAAAGTATCGTAATTATTGTTTGTGTATATTATTTTGTAATTGATTCAGCTTGTCCATTGAATATTTACACTAAAATGAATAATACCACCATAATGAACAACCTTAATTAAGATGTAAGTAATTAAAAAATTTTACCTTACTTTATCATAATATGTGGTATTATTTTATTTTAGTCTCCCTGATGATGGAAATAAACATTTCCGAAAGCTTGGAATAAACTTAAAAAAGTAAACTTTCATTTGCTGCATTACCCACAAATTACTGGTTAAATTATATATATATATATATATATATATATACATTGCCATGGAAAAAATTAAAATTTTAGACTTTTCCTCAAATTTTTTTATTACGGTCCATTTTAGAGAAATCATGTATGTATCAAAAATTATAGAGATCGATATCGCAAACAACTTTTAGTTTAACAATTTTCTTAAAAATTAGAATTTTGCACTTTTTATCAATTTGCAAAAATTATAGGGAAGTAACTTTTATTTAAAGAATTTTCTGCTCCAAACGTAAATAACAAATATATTCCATAAAATATAAAAACGACCCCCTATAAAGTACCCATGTTTCGACTCTTCCCAAAATCTAATCAGTTCACCTTAGACCTGAAGTTTAAAATTTGTCATGAGTCATCGAGTATACGCACACACGCACACTTATACGTACACGCACGCACACTTATACGTACACGCACGCACACATGAACGTGAAAATAGTCAAAACAAATTCAGGGGACCCCAAAACGTAGAAATCCGTTGAAAACACGAGGTCGAAAAAAATCATGATTCCTATACTTTCCTTATCTGTTTACAGACAGGAAAGTATAAATAATGCAGCATCGCCCTTCACATTAGATTAGATTAGTGATTCCAAATGTATTTTTTAAATAAACAAGTTTTATTGTAGTAATAGTAGTTTCTGTGTTTCTATAATCGGAGAGCAGGAGGAGGGCAGGGAACATGACCTCTTCTTTATTTCAAAAAAGGGGCGCCATGGAAAAAAGTTTGGGAACCACTGGTCAAATTTGTATGGTATTTACTGGTTATGTAGTACTACTGACTGCTATAAATAATTGTGTGGAACTGCCGTAAGTAATGCCCTACAACTCCATTTTAGTAGCTTGACATAAAGAAAAATAATTTCTTCTACTGAAACTGGAGTAAAGATTTAATACATATTATTTTTCTCTTAACAATGCAAACTTAGTACTTTGGAAGAAAGAGAATTATATTTTAGTAGGTAACTAAATCCTAACAAAAAATGGGCAATTGGCAATTTAGTAGGGTCCACGTCATTTATACTCTTATAATCATACATATTTTTCTTTTCTAGGTAAAGATTGGGCTCTCATGCACGGAGCTGCAATGAGATCAAAAAAGAACTTTTCTGCAGACAGTTTAAATTTTGCTCCATTTAGTTTGCTTCCTTCAACGATGACCAGGAAAAATTTCCAGCATGCGGTCGAACTTCAAACTATTTTTCAAGAACTAATGCACAAAGTGGCCTACGATAAAGAATTTTTGACGAGATGCTTGAAAAACACCGTTTTGGTCGACGAATTTACTGCAAAATTGTGGCAGATTTATGAAACAGTTCAGAAAGAAGGAGAAACGCAGGTAATCAGCTTTTTTATTTATAGGTTAGAGGTAAACTCTATCGTAAGAAGCTATGTCGATAATCAACATCACGTACACGTACATTAAAAACATGATTCGATTTTGATTTTGTCCACCACAGCAATCAGAATAAAATCTAAACCTCCACTAGCAACTTTCTTTTTAATAAAGTCTAATAAAGCACTACTTAATTCATTAGACCCCTTCTTAGCTGTAGTTTCATCCCATGCAAAGCAGTAACCTTTTGAAGATCCAATATCAAAAATAGTGAAATTATTAAATTTTCTTTTGTAATAAAATACTTCTGATTGTGGTGATAATAACTTTTGTAGATCAAAGCAAACAGTTATAATATGAATATAATTCTTGAGAAGCCATATTTTTTACTTCTCTCGCAATACATTTATTTGCAATATGTAATGTATACTCTCTTTCCATATTGTTCTTATCTTCTTCAATAAACTTTTTCATTTGACGCTCTAGTAATTGTCCTGAAATATTTTTCTAGGAATAAATGTGTTGTGTATATTTTATAAATAACAAATGAAACTTGTTTCTTATTATGCCTGGAAATTTAAAAAAACAATAAGATAAGTTATACAATCTGTCATTAGTTTTATTAAATCGGATGCGATCGGATGCGTCCGAAGCATTTACTCGGCTCGATACGAACGCGTATTAGGTGTATGTAAGAACACGTACGTTTACGTCAGACGTAAATAGATACGTGGGAAAAATAACTGTTGCGCATGCGTAGCAGTCATTTGATACGTTTTCGAATGCGTTTCTGGCATTACTTTAAATCTCTAATGACTAGTCAGAATGTTTGTGATCAGGCGAAGGTTCAGTCCAGTTATAGTCAAGTATTTGTTTGTGGTAGTGTTGTCAGAGTAATTGAAAAGCTCCCTAACAACTCTGCAGGTTCTTGTTTTATCCAACCTTTACTTGAATTTCACAAAGGAATAATTAGGTTTATCACGGCCTTCCTGGCTAGTGAATCAGCAAGACCATATGGCGCGGCATTTGATCCATCTTAAGGTTATCATATCGTTGATAGATACTACGACCAAGGGTTGGTGATACTATAGTACTAACCCTAAACAAGTTCGTGGTCTGTCTAGGATGAGTAGTGCTTGTTTGCTGTATAGATAAGCATGTTCGTTCTAGTGACATTGTTTCCGGTAATTTCTTTTAATACTTTGAGAATCTTCGTGAGTTCAGTTTGAACTATACTACTATTGCCCACAGACCATTTAATGTTTAGGTTTATGAACTTGGAGTATATTTTACACCTTGAACCTTGTTTTTTAAATCCGTTATATTAGGTATAAATGTATCTGCCACCTCCGACACTTCCAAATTTTTCGTAATAACTTTGTAGGGCTTATGATGTTGGCTTGAAGCAGAGGATGGAGTAGAGTGGCTCAGATGAATAAGTAAACTAGATAAGTAACTGTCATGATTTGTTTGTCTGGCACCCTTTTATTAGATATTAGAGCTTTGTTTAAGTTTCTTAAATGGTACTTTCAACCAATTAGTAATTTTTAAATTAGGCCCAGAATAATTCGTGCTGACCAATTGAGTCATAGTACGAGTACCACTAGAGAAAGATAGAAAATCATAAAGAATATTAGAGGGTTATTGCGGTAACCAGTGCGGTGGCTTTGTTTGGATTTTGTTATGTATTATTGTGCTAATTTTATGCTGGATTTTTATATATTTTTTGTGTAATCTGATGTGAAATATTTAGAAAAATAACTTAGTGTATCGCTTGTAGTAGAAAATACCTGAAAGCTAAAACAGTAACTTTTCGCCGGTATAAATAGTAATCAGATTTCTTATAGAATCTGGTAATAACCTGTTTCTTTTTTTCATTTGTACTATGTAACCTTTTTAAATATTAATTTTTTTAATTTTTTAATTTAAAAATATTTATAAAAAAAATTAATAATAACGAAGATGATTTTCAAGTTATATTTTAGTATAAGATTACATAAAAAATACCGCACTCTTTATGATAATCTAAATATTCTAGATATTAGGTCAACGTCATACTTTCACCGGGAATTACCTAAAATTTTATATAATAAATAATATTTATAATTATTGAAAAGCACTTTAAAACCAGCTACTGATCATTCTAAAATCACAGATTAAATCATACTTTTCATTATTTAACAATGAAAGTATGTAGATATATCTAAAATATTTAATTAGGTACTCATCATTATAAACCATGGTAGTAATAAATAAATATCTGATGCAAAATTATCAGATATTGTATATTTAGAGCGCGGTCCATCTAATCAAAAAGTGTTTATAATATAAATTCAGATAAAATTTTTCCACACACATAATTATATTTAAAATATTTTTCATATCTTCATTGCCAACGCAATCACTAAAAAAATATCAAATATTGCAATTTTCCTCAAATTTCTCAATTAGGCTCCATTTTAGAGAAATAATGTACCTAAATAACAAAAATTATCTGCGACAGAGACAACAGAGACGTGTAACTTAATAGGAAAATTTGTTCGGTGGTTCATTTAAATTACATATGTGACTTTCTTTCTCTTTTACATTGATCTTTATATATATTTATCTCTCTCCAATAAAACTAACACCAATCTAAGAGGTCGCTGATGTTGCTGGTTTTTTGACGTCGACGTATCGATTTAGAACTGACAATGTTATGAATGTTGTTATGAACGTGTGCATTTTATTAAAATTAATTTAATTTGGGCCCCGTTTATTTGTTTGAGTCTTTAATTAATTTTCTTTGGGGAGAATGTTTATTTTCGCACATTATTTTTTGCATGAAGCAATTTCTGAAACCAAACTCGCGTTTTTGTATATGTTTCTTTCTAGAGGTAAGTATTTCCCAATTTATTAAGAAAATCAATGTATAATGTGTGTGTGTTTAATAATATAATACAAAATGGCTATAATTATTTCAGGTGAATTGGAACAGAGGTCCATTGTCACAGCTACTTTTGTTCATTAAGTAGGTAGATTAATGCCTCGACAGCTTTAATGGCAGCACAAAGTTCCCACCTACTAGAAAAGAAGTAAAATGTATGCTGGGTAAAAAATCTCTGCACATATAGCATTGGCAAAGGATTTTTGAAATTATTAGATATTGGCTATTTCCTACATAAACCTACCTCTAATAGCCACTCAGAAGATTGTAGAGTCATTTAAATGAAGAAAAAAAATTGAATCACAAAAGGGCTGAGTTTTAAATCAGGATGCATTGGAAAATAAATTTGGGGGCGTTAGGTCGGTTTTGGATTTTAGAGAGATTAATCTCAAGAAAAGTTAATTTATCCTGCAGAACAACCAGTAGTTTAAGTAGGATTTGCTATAACTTTATTAGAAGATTTCCTTGATAATAAATTGTAATATACCAATTGTTTCAAATGAAATTGAAAAAGAGTTAAATTCGAAATTAGATTTTTTATGGGTAAACTGTTATATTAATTCAAACATTGTAAGGTAATCTACAATTAAGGGAATATGGAAAATAGGTATACTCTGGTGGTGTAAGAGACAGGTAAGGGGCAACGACAAAAAAATTACAAAAATGTATTCATCTTTAAATAGTGTTTATTATTAATATTTTTATTGTTATTATTATTATTTGCTATATTTGAAAAGTACCTCCTGCTGCAGAACAGATCGAATATATTAGACAACTAGTTGGAGAAGATCCACCTAGTAACCAAATTGGGAGACTAGGAAAACTTTTACATGACTGGGGGTACAACAGGAATGCACACGCTCAAGATACACAAACACACGACAGAACAGGGGTAAGCCTTCAGCAACGTCCTGTTTAAATGATGATAGTATAGAGAGTTTTAGCAAATGTACGTAAGATTTCCGCTAACGTTACGTTAAACTTAGATTGTGACCTTTTTCATAAACATTGAACGGAGTAGATTACAGTCTATCCCTAAGGTAACGTTAGCGGATGGTTAGCGGCTGTTTGCTAAAACTCCCTTATGTCATCCTTCATTCCATTTTAGAAGGCATGGCATATAAATCTATTGATCTTGATGACCCTAAGAGGAGTTAGCAGGGGGTGTACGGAATGGGTCTAGCAGGTTTCGATCCAGTTTACATGTTGGGAACTTACTCGACTCAGGCCTTATACATTTGTGTGAGTGTATGTGTGTGTTTGTTTCGTTTCCATGGTTTCTATTAAAATAAACAGTCATAACATATCGATACCTTTTTGCCAGATTAACGTAAGTGACATTTTTTCAAATGACACTTATGATAGTCTGGCAAAAAGGTATCGATATACTCTTAGTCCGGGATCCTTAAGTAATGTCGACCTTCACCCATCTGTTTAATGAATAAAAGTTTTTTTTATTAAATAAAATATGTTTTTAAATATACCGCAAATGGGCTGCCTAGGAAAATACGGTCACAGCCATTTTGTACCTTCCTTTCCGTGTACAGATAAGGAAAGTATAGGAATCATGATAGAAGTTGCTTATGCCATTCTCTATTATTTTGTCCCTATACATGATTTCCCTAAAATGGACCTAATTCGAGATATTTGAGGAAAAGTGCAAATTTCGAATTTTGAAGATAACTCAAAAACCGATGAAGAGAAAAACACTAAATTTTAAACTTAAGCTTTAATCTATCCTACGGTGAGCTGATTAAAGTTTGGGCATAGTTGAAGCATCTGGGGAATATTTTATAGGGTGTCGTTTTTTTACCTTAAGAAAATAAATAGTTTGGACCGTATTTTCTTAGGCAACCCATTTGCGATATACTCGTATTTATAAACACATTTTATTTAATAAAAAGAAACTTTCATCCATTAAACAGATGGGTGAAGGTCGACCTTACTTCGGATCTTAGACTATCTGTACTTTATAAAATATTTGTTACATTAGTTTTTAAATATATTATGAATATATAACAACTGTTACTTTCTTTGTAATTTTTCACAATGATACGAGGTACTTTCTAAACTTAGCAATTGTAGTTTGTTTTTCTGTACCTTACAAAAATATAATTTATAGAAAAGGAGTTTGGTGTATTATTTTTCCAAGTTTAAATATTTAATATTCAATAGAATTTTCAAGTTTTTTTAGCGAAATTTACAAGAGTAATAAAAACTATGTTCACTGCTTATATTAAACTGATTAAAACTTCCTTTATTAAAACGATTATTTATATGATACAAAATTTGATGTTATTAAAAGCTTTTATATTTTTTAATATACAGTGAAACAATAGTTTTTGTTTCTCCTGTAAATTTGTATCGAAAAACTATTTATTTCTGAATTCAGGTTTGAATTTCCCGCCCTAAAGCATTTTTAATTTTCCCGCCATTTACTAGTGGCGCCATCATAGACTGGTTGTGGTTACAATCGCCCAATCAAAAAAAATACATTGAGTTACACATCTCGCTGGGTTGTCTCTGTCTGCGGAGTCGAATTGTCTTCCAAAATAAAAATATTACTCTCAAAAAGGTGACGGTCGAATTGTCTCCCCGATGATTTTAATACATATATAATTAGTATAAGTACTTATAATACTTTAAAATCTAAACGTTGCTGCCAAATCGATTTTATATCTTGACGAAATATATGGAATGGTATATCCAAATTTTGTTAAAAAAAAACACTATTTATGAAATTATAATTATTTTATTATATAAAATAAAACAAAATATACTCTATACAAATAAATAAACAATTAAACGTTAAGTTCGTTACATATCTTTTATAATAACGGATATATTGTATTTCAAGACAATAATTTATATACAAAATTACATCTATATAAGTTTCAACTAAATAGTCATTAAATTTAATCACCCTCTAATCATCTGGTTGAATTGCAACGAGATCAAGAATAAAGCAATCGCCAATGTCTTCTGCTTTAAGGAATGGTAAACCAAAAAGATAAGTAAGGTATTTTGTTATATCTGTTTCTAAATTATCTTTTAACTGATATTCGGTGGAAAGTCCTAAAGTTTGAATTTTTCTATGCCAACTTTGACCTAAGTGAAATAGACATTCCTTAATTTCAGTTTTTGGAAAAATTTGCTTGGTGTATTGCTAATTCAAAATCTGAAGTTATGGTTTTTGGTAAAAATGTCGTGACCTGTTATAGATAGGTATATTTCTTTTAAATATTGTAAAGCTATATTTTTATTTTTCAAAAGAACGAAAACGAGAGGAATATAATGATTATTTTTAAAACCATGAATGGTAAACATTTGTAAAAAAAAATAGGGCAATAATCAAAAGTGCCGTCAACATTTAATTCACTTTATTTCTTCTAGAGCAGCGTTACTTAAAGTGTGGTCCGCGGAGCCCTGGGGCTCCGCAAAGCCTTTGAGGGGACTCCGTGAAGAAAATAACAAAAAAAAGCAGTATCGCTACAACAGGACTTGGCTTGAGGACCTTTTAATTTTTTGTTTTTTTAGAAGGAGTATATGAGTTTGATAGTTTTGGATTTTGGGTTGGAGGATTTTTTTATAAGTCAGGAAGAGGAAGGAATATATGATTTTGGTATTTTGGGTTAGAGGAGCTTTTTTTTTTAGAAGTCAGGAAGAGGAAGGCGTATAAGATATGAATTTGGTAGGAGGGCCTTTTTTTTAGAAGTCAAGAAGAGGACGGCATATATGATTTTAAAAATTTTGTTGTAGGCGCTCCGCAAGGAAACGGGAGGGACCTGGCAAGAGGCTAGAGCAAGGAGAACTTTTTTTTTTCGAAATGTGTTTAAGGCTCCGTCAAATATTTCACTTCTCAAAATGGTTCCGTCACCAAAAAAGTTTGAGAACCACTGTTCTAGAGCATAAAGATTAGTTTTACATGAGAACATGACTATATTATTTATTTCCTAATATTTAAATTAAAAAATACATAAAAACAACACTTTTATATTATTTTTAATACCTGGTGTACTGAGAAAATCGTCGTGGGATTTAGTAGGGTACAGATTCATTCAGAATTATTTCATTTGTTGTAGGTGTGTGTCAGAATATTGTCAAAAGTATATTTTCAAATAAACATTTCCGAGTTGATCCAAATGAAAAACTACTGGGCTGGAAATGTTTTTTACACAACTGGTAGCTTTTGTGTAATTATTCACTGGTTATATTAATCAAGTCTTCTCGACTACAGGCTCTTAACAACATGGGAAACCTAAAAATACATTGTCATAGAGGTACATAAATATAATTTGATTTAAAAATGATAATAACATAATTGTTTTGATTAAATAGCCAAATAAATAACATACAGTTAACATTGCTGCATTTGAAAAGTACCTAGTTTTACTCATTTTACTCGAAGCCGTTCTCGATGGGATCTCCATGGTCTTTTAATGCAGAACTGATAAGTCAAGTAAGATCTATTTCCTCCGAATTAAATTTTAGAGCTTACGGAGTAAATGTAATTTATTTCTGTGAGATGTACAGACAGTTGTCTTTTGTGTCACAGTTTATTCTTTTTCATCTTATTTACATATCTGGTTATTAAGAGCAAAAAATATTTATAAAAAATGTTAGATGAAAAATACCACAGCTAAAAATGAAGTTTATTTTGCAACTTGCAACAAAAACCAGGAGAAGAGAAACCAAATTTGATTTAAAAGAAAGGTTTTAGTTTATTCTAATGGAAACCGGAAACACAAACAAATCTATAGCTTTTATTCCACATGAGCTCGATTATCACATGATTAAAAAAAATTTACTAGTTCTACTCCGTTCCACGAGGTACTTTTCAAACGTAGCACATAACGTTGGTAAATTTGGATATCTGGATCAAAATTTAAACTATTTGTTAGGTAGATCTATCAGTTTTCCTCATTTAAATTGCATAATTTATTTTGCATACCTTTCTGAAACTTTGGGAAATGAAAAATAACTAGTATTCGAATCCGTTCGAGGTAGACATGGGCGATAAACACATCTCTTTCTTTTAGATTCCATCAGTTCACTAAAAAATTATTTTGCTTTAATAAAATAAATAAAAATATGTAAATAGCTCAGCACATACCACTAAAAGTCTTCGATTAAAAACATGTTTACTGAACAATGTTCATAAAATAGACAAAGGAAAGCACTAAACACAGATTTACTCAATAATTGTTAAAAAATATACGAAGAAAAACACTAAAAGACACTTAAATTCGATAAAAAAAAATCATAAATTACAAATGACTGATCCTGACACATCAAAACAACACTCGTGACATGACAGTTTTGCCGGTTATAAAATGGCGGCCCTGATCATGCGCAAAAAATTTTGGACCCCAAAAATTGACGTGCCTTCGCTTCTGTAAAAGTATTCTGTGGCAGAACTACTGTAAACGATTTATACACTTGTTTCTCCCAAGCAGTGTCTAGTTATCTCGCTACATATGTCAGTGACAATAATATCAAGTAATTTCTGTTAAGATATAAACACAGCTTATACAATAGCTGTGATATAAATAGTCAGTGAGATTTTGTGTCCGATACTCGATATTTATGACACGAAAGAAGTGTCAGATGTAAACGTTCCTTGATAGGGTGTATATAATATTTGATATATCTTAAGTGCCTTACAAATGTAGCCCCCTCCCCCTCATGTAGACTAGGCTTCGTGCTACCACTGATGTCTGTTGCGGTATTAGCCAAAGGAGTAGCTGTATTCAGAAGGGAAAATGTCGCTCGTATTATTTATGTGTCACAAGCTTTAAGATTTCATTGTTCTTCTTCATTTTAAAAATGTATTAATTTATTTTGTAATCTTTCTAGCCGATAAGTTTAGGATTAGTAAGATGTGACTACATGTTGCAAAGCTGTAATGCAGAAGAAAAGGAAACACCTACAGAAACAAATGAGAATCCTCCTTGTAACTGGAAGCTCGTAGAGGTTAACACAATAGCCGCTGGTTTTGGATGGCTAGGACCTGCATCTCGGTTAATACAAAGGTAAACAAGATATAATTAGTAATAATTAGTTAAATCATGTACACATATTATGATCAGTTTTACCGGCCATTTCACCTCTACTTGCATCAACTATGATATTTAATTCGGCGTTTCATGGTGCTAGTTACTAAATTCCAGTGTTTTGAAGCTATTTGTAATTTGGATGATACCAGTAACTTGATCAAGAAACTTACTTAAAATAACCCTAAATTTTATTCGTGTTCAGTTTTCTAGAGTTACGAGACGCATAAGTTTGTTGTTAAAAATATGAATCTCAAGTTTTTTATTTTTGTTATTACATCTGTTGGGCCAATGTCTTCTACGTTAATTGCAGCCATAATTCTTTTTCTTGCCACCTCCCCTAGTGGGGCCTACATAGTTCTACAAATTTCACCGTGGTTCGTGGTATCCTTTGTCCATCTTGAGCACATTGTGATTTGTGATAGATTATTCGATAAAGGTACGTTTACAGCTGATATTCATTGCATGAGATTTATGTCTGACAGTTGTTTAGTCCAGTGTAAACACTCAAACAAATATCTCCGGGAGAAATTTTTGTCTGTTTACACTGGGCTAAACAACTGTCAGGCATAAATTTCAAACAATAAATGTCACATGTAAACGTACCTTAACACACTAACAAACGCCAACTGCAAATAATAACGACTGGCACCAAATGCTATAAGCATAGCTAAAAACCGAGTTTACAGAAAACAAATTAATAGGCTAGTAGAAATGCACTTTCTCCAGTAAATAGAGATACTTTCTATTCACTCGACTGGAATCATTACTAAAATTAGTACTGGAATTTAGTACTAAAATATCTGTTTACACTAAGCAATTACTAATAGTGTATTTTATTTGTTGCACTAGGTGTAAGTTTTCTGCACTAATCGTATTTGATTTGTTCAGTGTAGCTTCAAATATTTGACACATACTTGAGTGTAGCTTATACTTTTGACAAGTATGACAGTTCGAATACAGTGTTGAGTGTGACACTAGTGCAAGAAATAAAATCCATTATTTAATCCAGTTACTAGCACCGTGAAATGACGTATTTACGCAAACACGAATGGCTAGAGGTGTAGAGATGGAAAGGTAATATTCTCTATGATCGTTAAATCTGTCAGCATATCTGTATATGAATTTTAAAAATAGAATTCAAAAAATCATCCGTCAGTCTACATTGAAGGTCTGCTTTTTAGGTATATAATGGAAGAAATGAACCTTCACGATCGATTACAGAATGTAAGTATATCATTTAACATTTTTGTATTTCATTCAGAACATTAATTCTAGAATGGATATGAAATTATATCCGTTCAGTAGACATAATGTGCGGAAAATAAATTATATATGTGTGTGTAAAAAACAATATTAGATGTGGACAATTTCAACTGAAGTAAATCAGACGCTGACTAAAATAAATTTGTTGTATATTTTGGATAACATAATTTAGATAGCTTGAGATTATTTTTGTTTTATTTCAAAAACGTTATAAATATTTTTGGGATTTCAAACTAAAGAGTGTCCCACAAGAACTTGAATTTTTGATGACAAAGAAAACATAGTAATTAAAAAAAAAATATGCAAAAATTTTATTGGATTTTCAAGAGAAAATGTTGACATTAAACATGAATCAAAATATCTGTCAAATGGACACCGGGGCTCCGTTGACAGGTGTATACTCGCGTGACAAAATTTTGGAAGACATTTTCGAGCAAAATCGGATGGATTTCACGAATATTACGTTCGATTTCTTCCTTCAGTTTTCGAATCGTCTCAGGATGGTTCCCATATACTCTACTTTTTAAATACTCCCAAAAGAAATAGTTTAAGGGCGTCAAATCACAACATCTCGGCGGCCAGTTTTTGTCTCCAAATCCAAAGATGATACGACATGGGAACTTTGTTTGCAGTAACACCATTGTTTCGCGGGCGGTGTGGCAGATCGTGCCGTCCTGTTGAAACCACAAGTTATTTATGTCCATTCCATTCATTCCAGCCAAAGAAAGTCTCTCAGCATGCTACGGTAGCGATCACCATTTAAAGTCACGAAGACACCTTTATTATTTTGAAAAAAATAGGGTTCGATGATCCATCCTGCCCAAATGGCGCACCAAACTGTCACTTTTTGAGAATGCATTGGAAGCTTGAGCACGGCATTTGGATGCTCTTTCCCCAAATAAGACAGCTCTGTTTATTCACAAAGCCGTTCAAATGGAAGTGCGCCTCATCACTAAAGATAATTTTCTTGTGGGGAATCCATCGTCAACTCCGTGTTGACCCAATATCCAATTCGCAAAGTTTCTGCGCTGTCTGTGATCAGCTGTATTTTGTAAGGAAGATGATGCAAATCCTTTGTCAAAATTCATTGTTAGTACTGCGAAAGATTTAATTCCTGACTGCGATGTCGGATGGAAGTGTTTGAATGTTCGTTAACAGTGGCTCTCACGGCAACAATGTCTTAAACAGACCTTTCAGGATGACGACGTCCAACACTTGTCTTTCAATGCAAATATCCGCTCAAATTTGTTGATCAAATGTTCAATAGTGGGCTGTGACGGACGATTATGTATACCAAAATGTTCACGTAACCTGTGCATTGTCACTAAAAAATATTCTCTATTTCTGTAATGGGTCTTCACAATTAATAAACGTTCTTCAAGAGTGTAACGTGGCATTTTCGTTAATGTCAATGTTTTGGCAGAACACATGCCTAATATGGCCCACTTGATGTTTGACAGATGGAAATGGCACGCGATTCAAAATTCAAGTTCTTATTAGGACACTCTTTATTATTTGCTGTATTAATTTTTGAATTAAAGTCAATCTCTTGTTATCTGAAGGGGACAAAGATGTTTTATGGCTGCTGAACTATCTTCAAGCTGTCGATTTTCTGGATCAAGACTTTCTTATAATCGCTGTAAATCTTATTGCTGAATTACATTTCGACTATAATACAAGGTGGCCCAATGAAAACTTGACATTGTGGTTTTGGGTATTAATATTGTAGATGTTAAAAAATGCTCGCATTTTAGTTTGGAGGGGGACACTTTTTTCTTATTGCAGCGTCGTTACTTCAACCCTCGAGCAGTGGGGTGAGCAACTCCTACAATTTAAATAGTGAACGGCATTATTATGATCGTACTAGTAATAAACTACAACCCCTTGACGTTCGAGTGTTTAGTCCATTCGAGTGAAACCTTTATGTCGAGATGAACAAATATATGACCAATCATACCGGAGAGAGGATTATAGACTATGTCATATAGGACCTCTTATCAAAGAAGTATTTATAAAGGCTTTTTTCTTAACTAATATTTTAAAAGGTTTTGAAAAATCGAGAATTTACCCCTTCAACAATGGAATATTCAGCGTTCATGAATTTATGGGTGACATGGCCGTAATTACTTTTTCGGCTACAGCTGATTCGATAATTCAATCAGAGGTGGCATCCGTGGTTCGACAGAAAAAACATCGTCCGTGCCAGATGAACCATCAACGGAAATTCGACTACTCAGCCCACAGCCAGCACTTTAAACTTCTGATTCGAACAAGAGGAAAAGAAAACAGGAGAAATCAGAGACAATCAATGCTTCTCCATACAAGCTGGAGTTGGAAATAAAGAAGATTGAAAAGAAAAACGCAACAAAAGTTACAAGGAATATAGGAAAAACAAGCAAATGAAAATAAAAAATATTACTCTAATATAGAAAAGATAGGCAATGAAGAAGAGGATGGCGATGATGATGACGTGGTTTTATGAGCAGTGAAAAATATGTCTTGTTAAGGACAATGGATGAAATGCTGGAGGTGCAAACAAAGGTGTCATGAGGACTGCTCAGATTTTGAAAGGAAACTTTTGTTTGTGATCCTTGTAGATAATAACTTTTTTTTAATATAGGTAAGGCTAACCTACTCCACCATGTGGGACAAGCTGATTTTTTGTTGTAATGTTGTAAGGACGTTGTTTATTTGATTGATAATAAATCTGTGAGTATGTTAACGATGACACATCTTTTTTTTAACTTATATAATTTTTTTTAATCACCGGAAGCTTAAAATGGTCAAGTTGCCTCACTCTCCCATAAATATTTGCTCACGTGGCCGAAATCCCTACACCGGAAGTAGCAAAACTGGATGACTAGTAACGGAATTTTTTTAATTGTTATAGACGTCTAGAAGCATATTATTTCATTGCCAGCAAACAACGAAAAATCCATTAATAAACATCTTTACTTTGAATTTGACCACCACTGAGATAGTGTAAATGTTGTTTACTCCTTCAATATAGATATTATAAAAAGGGGCAAAGCAAATATAATCAATTCATTTTCTTCACAATTGGACTCTGATTCAGACTCATCACTACTTGCCGTTATACCAAAATTAATAATAATTGGTTCTAGATCAGAAACATCTACACATCTAATTGCTTGTATTTTTCCCAATCGGAAACAATTATGTTTTTAGTGTGTCTTACATAATTGTCCCACTGAGTATCGGTAACATTATTTAAAGCTTCTGACCAAGTCTGAAATACACCTTCCGCTGACGACTTTGTTGTTAAAAGTTTTTCGTCATAAAACCATATGCACTGTGACCACATCATCTCTATCTCATTGTACTGGCAGTGATATGGAGGAGTTCTTAACCCTTTAACGCGCAAAACTATTTTTTGCCAGGTTTTCAAAAAATAACGATATGTGTGGGTTATATAAGTAAAACTAAGTATATTACTGTGTCTTAAAAAAACTACAAGTTTGAACTTTGAGTTGTAGAAGGTGGTCGATTTTTCGACCAGCGCACTTTCAGGATGGCACACTTTGGGCTCGAATCGTACTCAAAATATCGACCAGTTGTTTTTAAAAAAAAAAAAAATGAATATAAACATTTATTTTTAAAATAAAAAAACAGTAAACTGTATGCGTACAGAGGCAGATATTCGACCACTTGTTAGGGACGAAGCTGGGACGTGCACTAAATAGCGCGCCAAATTTTATAACGGGTTGATATTTCGCCTGAAAACGTTACCGGTAAGTGTCTAGCAGAGATCTGGTCTAAATTCAGACTGCGCGCTAAATCGTACAAGCAGAAAAATTAAGTGGTTTAAATACCAACCACTGCCCGCTAAAGGGTTAATATTGTATGCCCATTTTTCTCAACATATCTATCTAGGTGAAATTCTTTTCGTGGTAGATTTTGACGTACAACTTCCCAAATCTGATATTTCATGCATTGTTTGTATAATTAATGTTCTTTTCCTGCAACCATTTTATCCTTTGTCCAACTATAACATGGACTTGGTTCCATGTATCGTGAATGATAACTGGCATTATCGATTATAATCAAAGAAGGATGTTCCAAGCTAGGTATAAATTTCGTCTTAAATCATTTTTCAAAATTGTCTATGTTCATATTATTGTGGTAATCCCCGCTTTTTATTTAACTTTTAAATATGAGGTCTTCATTTTTTATACACCCTTCGTCACCATGGACAATTATGTATCGAATTAATTCCCCTGTTTTTTGACTTGCAGTAGCCATCTTTACGTCTTAAGGAGGTCCTTTCGCCACCAATGTTAAATAAAAAATATTAGATTATGACTAAAATTAATTTTTTTTTTCTAATAGTTGAAGTACTTATTTATCTAATAGTGAATTTTTAACTATACCTTACCGTGCAAATTTTTGAGAAAATTTTTTTTCAAAATGTGAGTATTTGTACAGTGTCTGAGAAAGTAAGATTTCAACAACAATTTTGTCCTCTTACTTTTTGTTAATAAATGTTACTGTCTGTCCTAAAAAAATATTAAGAAAATAAAACGAAACTTCGTTTAAGTTCTCCTTGTTCACGTGTGGCTCGACTTTCGAGTTGACCCTCTGGATTTTGATCGTCATTGTTTCCACCTTGATCTTCGATTCCATTGTCATCATTTAACTGGTCATTTAGGTGCTTTCCCACATTATGGAGCACTGAGCATGACAGAATAACCTTAGCAACGTTTTCTAATGACACGCGAACACAATTGGCAAGAATAGGAAAGCGCTTTTTAACCTAAACACTCTTTCAATAATAACTTTTTGTCGCGAGTGAGTTAAGTTGAAATATTTGTCTTGTGCGTTTGCTGGTTGCTGGAAAGGAGTTATAAGCCACGGAGAGAGTCCATATCCAGAATCACCCAACAGACAGAAAGCCCCATCATAAAAAGAAATGTTTTGTTTGATTATGCTCCTTCTCCAGATTCTGGCATGATGAACGCTACCAGGCCACTCAGCTGATATACTTGTGATTTTTTCAGCCGCATCGCAGGTTACTTGAACGTTTAAGCTGGGATAGCCTTTCCTGTTAATATATTCATCACCAAATATTGAAGGCTTTTTAATCTCTACATGAGTACAGTCTAAGGCTCTAATAAGAGTAGGCAATTGAAACCGATTTTGGCATAAAAGTGCTGCCTCATTTATTTCGTCCAAAGTTGAAGGGAATTTTATCCATTTATCAGCCTTTTCAACTATTTTGTTCATTACAAAGTGGGTGGTTTTGGCTACAGTGCTTTGATGAACGCCTACGTCGTTGGCAGTTCCAGACTGAAAACTTGAAATAATGTTCATATTTATATTTTTTGACATAATAATCATACGAGTAACTGCACTATATTCACAAAAAAATGTTTTCTTTAATTCTGTTCGAAAGGTTTTTAAATATTTTGAATGTGTCCAATGTGTTCTGGTAATCGATTGAATAGTGTTTTTACCAGAATTTGTTGAATATTTCTATTCTATGGCTACCTAAGTTTAAAAAGTATAGGAATATTATAAAATTTATTATTTTGTAATAATTGAAATTTCGTAATACTAAATAATAGGTATTGTTTCAATTGTAAAAGTAATTTTAGGTATTCTTGTTAATTTAAAATACTTCAGCCGTCAACCCTTTCCCAAAAACTTTAAAATCTTAAATAAAACATTCAATTGCACACATAATTTTGTAAATAATACGCACCTGGATTAGCAAGGTATCGTAAAAGAATCTCCATCTTTTGGCGAGAAGAGATTGCTCCACTTCGAGTCTCTTCGTGATCAGGCAAAAACTCAGCTGTCAAAAATGTTCTCATCCTCAAACCTTAGTAACTGTTTAAAATTACAGAGTTGGGTCGGATACAGGAAAAAAGTATCCGAGTACCGGATACGGATACTTACAATGTACCCGGATTCTTTTTAGGATACTTTCACCTAAAAAGTACTCGGATACAAGTATCCGGATACTTTTTTTGGATACTTTTACGGATACTTTTAAAGTGAGTTAAAATAATGTTTTAATACCAATAGTTATAATTATGCAATAAGATTGATTACGAGTAACAATAAACAATACTAGGCATAAATAAATTATCGAAAATGGAAAGCGAATAGAAACAGGAAAAAACTACTCACTAAATTGTTTATTATTTTTATTCTGTGAATATAAAACATTAAAACAAAATGAACAATAAAACATAAATGTGCGTGTAAATAAAACGAGTCGCGCCTGAACCGCGCCAGAAACCAGCCAGTGTCGTGTCCATATAAATCTAACGAAATAAGCTCGTTGTTGGTGCGACTTGCCATGGTTATACAACCTTTCGATATTGATGTCATATGTATTTGACAATCCATTTTTTGTGGATCCTTCGACTAGCGGTACTTGGTAGAGTCGAGAGCGTCGAAAGAAGAAGGAGTGAGAGATTGCTGAATGTTTCGTTCTGGCATAGGCAAATCAGGCTCGTATATTTGATCTTTTCAGATCTGTATACTTTATTGATGTTAATGACGACATAAATAACACATGATCAGTAACATTATGAGCAACAACGTCATACATGTATGAGTACATTATAACACATACAATCATTCAGCTATTATTATATAATTTTACTTTTAATATTTTTATTAAATGGAAGTAATACCCCGCTGATTTTATTTATATTTATTTGTCAAGCGATTTAAATAAATTTTGGAGAGACATTTTACATGAAATTCTATATTCTCTTTTATTTTTACATTTTTTTTATCTAAGCTGATTTTCCGAGATATTTTTTTTTTATTTTACCATTTTTTAAAAAAACTGGATTTTAAACAAAATGGATACTGAAATTACCTTAACTATCTTGAAATTCCAAATTTCTACTCTTTCTCTATTAAGAGGAATCTATTCTCCTATTCTTTACTTGATTTTTATTTCTCAAGCGATATAAATGTATTTTGTTTACACATTTTATGCGAAATTCTAAGACACAATTGCAATATTGTGTCTTAACAATTGTAATATTGAAAAATACGTATATTATTTATAAATATATAGGGTAGCTCAAAGTATTTCGATTATATATTTTAATAAAAATAATATGGATTGTATCAGTTACGATTGTGGTAAATAATTTAAAAGTATCCGAATGCCGAAAAAATTTGGAAAATTTGGTTACGGATATGGATACCGATACCGGATACAAAACTTGAAAAGTATCCGTATACAGCTTTCGGATACATATAAAGTATCCGGATACAGAAGTATCCGGATACTACCCAACTCTGTAAAATTATTTATTTTTCTTCGTTCAAGGTATGTCTTTCTGCCACGAAATTGCATAAACATCGGCATTCTGTTAGCTACTGACTGAAAAGTAGTCTGTCGTACCTCTGGCTTGAAAAATATTAAAAATATACTACCGCTTGTTAGTAAAAATTAATGTTTATTCATTCGGTAAGCTTAGAATATTCTAGTTCTCTGATAAGCTTAGTATTTACTAGGGGTAGTATATTTTTTACAACGTTATTCATATAAAACCTAGAATATACTTAAAATTACCCTAGTTTAAGCAAATACTAGTTTTTATTCATTCCACCCCATATATTAATTGACGGTGCAAAACATTTCACATTAGGCATTTTTTCCAAAAATCGTTTCTGTAACGATTTTATTGTTATATGTTGCGCACCTTCGTACATCTTATATATAACTTGTCTCAACTTACCTAATATTAAAGAATTGACTTTTGTTTTACTTTGGCTTACCTTTTTAGACATTATTTTCAGAATTTGTTGGTTTAATTAAACTACGACGTGCCAAAATCTAGTAATTTTTTGTTTTATCCATTTTACATTTAAACAATAAAGAAAGCGAGTCTACCCACGTATTGTATCTATCGATTTTCAGTTAAATATAGTCCAACCAGAATTTAATATTAATAATTAATATTTAAAATTTTCTCATATTTTATTAAATTCAGCTTCCAGATAACAATGCACTTTCTGGTTTATGTGAGGGAATGTTGGAAGCTTGGCGTCTATATGCAAACCCGAAAGCCTTCATTTTAATCGTAGTAGAAGATGTTTCTTACAATATATGTGATCAAAGGTTCCACCAGTTCAGAATTAGAGAATTGAATCCCAATGCAAATGTTATGAGAAAAAATCTGACACAAATTTATAATGAGGCCACCTTAAATGAGAACAAAGAATTAGTTATGTAAGTTTCAAAACGCCTCTTGCGTTTATTTTGTTATTCCCATTTCTTTTTTTACACTAAATAACACCTCAGAGTAATATTTTTCTTACCTGATCTTTTTTTGTTTTAGTAATAATCAAATAGTTAGTGTAGTGTATTTTAGAAGTGGATACGAACCTTGTCAATATCATGGAGATAATGAGTGGGAAGCTAGATTATTAATAGAAAGGTACCTATACATCTCCCACAGTATACCTTGTTGCCGTCGCTAATAGTTTTATTATGTTTAAAGGTCGCGTGCCATTAAATGTCCAAACATACAATATCACTTAGCTGGATGTAAGAAAGTACAACAAGAATTAGCAAAACCTGGTGTGCTGGAATCTTTTATTACCGATAAAGACAGTATTAAAGCCATCAAAGATGTATACGTGGGGATACACGGGTTAGAATTCGATGAATGTGGAGAGCATGCCATCAACTTAGCCTTAACAAATCCCGAAAAGTAAGTTCGTTATATTTTAATATTACGTTTCTATTATCATTTTTACTATGCATTGGTTCAGAAGGTGTATGGAACCAGGTCATCCCCACCTTGTCTCGATGACAAAATGGCTAGATAAAAATATTGAAAACTTCATATTTTAAGAAAATTAACATAAAAAATCAATAAAATAATTAAAAAGTTCGTATTTTCCAATTTTTTATTATTGGCTTAACAGTAAGCACTGAAGATGGCCTAGTTTAGAAACGGATTAACTATTAAAAAAAAAAAAACAATTTGCACGAAAAATTATTCAAATTCACCTATTACCACTAATTCACATAATAACTATTAATGTATATTAAGAGCGACACGTGATAACTTTGTCGCTTTAGACAGAAAGTTGGCAGCGCGAAGCGTAGCAGAGCACGGAGCACGGCAATCTGTCGAAAGCGAAAATTTTTTTCGATAACGATAACATTATTTTAAGAAATAGATATAAATACTGAACATTTGTCGTAGGTAGTGTATAATGTGTTGCCTTATATCTACTACGTTAATCATGAAAAAATGAGCCGATATATTCAAAATCAATTTTAACTTGGATAATAAAATAAAATAAAAAACAAGCTACGTACAAATAACTTGAAAATAATTTATTAAAAAGAAATATTAAATTATATCTAAAAGCTGTCAAGTTATTCGCTCGGCAAGCGAAAAAGCTGTCACTTAATGTCAATTCGCGGAAAACGTCAACTTCGCGGTTGTATTTCGAAGCGCAAAGGCTCTTTTTTAACAGTTTGGCCAATTATTCTTTGGGAATCACGTGATATTATCTATTGTTATCTATTACTTTTTGGTTAACTGCATCGTGGCGAGGAAGGGTGACGTAATCTAGAAAAAGCCAGCGACGGCTCGACACAAAACAAAACAAATGACTTGGTAAAATGGCAAACAAAACAAATGGCTTGGTGAAAAGTATTTTAACAGAAGGGTTGGTAAATCTAAGGGGTTGTCATATACGATGTATTTTATCTACAATACGAGAAATAAATAATGGATTAAATTTAAACATTTTATGTTGAACACATGGAAAATATTAACTTTTAAAAAACCACTTATACATTTTACTTATGACGACCGCAGCACGCTGCAGGGTGCTGCGTAACATTGCTCCCTCCTTTCTAGTTATTCACCCCGAATAACTTGATTACTAGGACCTGGTTGGAGCCAATGGGGATCTGGAGCACGGTATGGCGCTAACTTTTCAATGTAAACTACCTTGGGTTTACTTCCCGCTGCCAACTGAATGCGGTAGATCAGGGTCGTTGATTTTCTTAAAGATGGTGTAGGGGCCTTCCCAGTTCCGTTGTAGTTTTGGACAAAGTTCTTTTCGGTGCTTGAGATTATACAGCCATAATGGATCGCCTCTATCAAAATGTGTCCCTGTGGCATGCATGTCGATTCTAGCTTTTGCTTTATCGTTATTGACTTTCAAACGTTACGGAGCGAATTCGTATACCTTTTCAAATCTTTCTTTTAAGTTCTGTATGTACGTGGGAGGTGTACGGCCCTCTTATTCATCTGCCTTCCAAATAACAGATCATAGGGAAGCTTCGTCTCCCTTCCCGTAATCTTCATAGAAGGAGTATAACTGGTCGATTCATGTTCAGAACTTCGGTATGCTAGCAGGAAGAGAGGAATTAAAGTGTCCCAGTCCTTTCGATTTTCAGAGACAAACATGGAAAGATACTGACATATGGTTCTATTGTGTCTTTCTACCATTCCGTCGGACTGTGGGCGGAGAGGCGTAGTGCGTGTTTTTCTGATGCCTAAATGCTTCATCAATTCTTTCCATAATTCGGATTCGCTATGACTTTTATCATAAACGCTTCTGCTACTGTATTTGTTTTCCCTTTCTGTTAAGGGAAGTAGTACGAAGATATCTATGGCGATTCGTTCGAAAGGCTTTCCGGAAAGATACTGTGACATATTACCTCGACTTCTCGTTTTGGATTCTTTTCTGCCATTGAACAGATCACATTTCTCACACAATCTTCTACATCTTGTTGGCAATTGACTCAATAAAATCTTTCCCGAACTCGTGCCAGCGTCCTTTTAGTACCAAAATGTCCTCCTGAATGGCTGCTATGGAGCTCCTCCAACACACTTCTGACATGTGATTTCGGCAATACCACTTGGTGGACTACATGTACTCCATCGGGGATCTCCCTTTTTCTCCCTCATCGTCTTGTAATGTTGTAGACGAAAAGATTGCTGCATTTCCACATCTTGTAGTTCATCAATAAATGCCTGTATGCAGATTTGTTCTTGGAAATCTTTGGGTGCCTGTGGATAGGCCAGATGAATCAATCGTTTTATATCGGCCTCGAATTCCTGTACACTCTCATTATGTTTCTGACAGCGAATCTTTAGCTGGCTTTGAAATACTCATTTCAAATGCTACTGGCCATATCTTGCCTCCAAAGCTTGGACGTGAGATGAATAACTGGGTTCTTCTTGAGGAAGTAACTTTAAAACGGTTGATGCTTGTCCTCGCAGTAACACTTTCAATACAGCCGCCTTTTTAGCCCAGCCATTGGCTCTAGCTGCAGCTTCAAATTGGAGGCTAAACGTTTCCCATGTTGTCTGACCGTCAATAGTGAATGGATTAATGATCTTGCTAGTATGGATTTGTGAAACTGGGTTTTGAATATGGCTTGGTTTGATTACAGATGAGGACGAGGTAGAGTTTTCAGTTTCTCTGTTGCTTATCGAAGCTAGGCTACGAATTATTCTTTCTAACTCAACTAGTTCAGTTCTAATTTACCTTTCGAACTCTACTCTAGGCTTTTCCTGTTGTTTTAAATAATCTCGTTGTTGCTCCAAATTAGTTTTTAAATGCTCTTGCTGCTGTTCTAAATTAGTTTTTAAATGCTTTTGTTTCTCTAAAAGATCTACTCTAATTTTAAACTGACCAACCTCTTGATTGAAGATTTCCTGGATTTGTAGCAAAGCATTCATAATGTCTACCTTAGCTTTTCTACGCCTCTCTTCCTTCTCTTTGTCTTCACCCTTCCTGCACCTTTCCTTTTTCTCCTCTTCCTCCTTACAGCGCCTTTCCTTTTCCTCTTCCATCTTCAAAAACCATGGAATGACATTTGTGGACTATTCTATCTTCTTCATTTACTCGTAACTTTACTTATGACGACCTCAGCAGGCTGCAGGATGCTGCGTAACAATATTTTCTTTAATAAAAAGAAACTGGAGGGGTGGGTGGCTCAGTGGTAGTAGAGTCTCTGCCTGTAGATCCAAGGGTCCCAGGTTCGAATACCACCGTTGGCCGGAATTTTTTCATTTAATTATTTAAAATTAATTCTGATGCCTTGGTAGGATTCCCCACTCGACCATTCACTGCTGGGTTCTAATTAACAGTGCTGTTCCTAAAGTGGCGCTGGGAAACAGTAACAAAGCCTACACAAAACACGATGCGAAATAACCTTAGCAGTTGAAGCCGATGACACACAAAAAAAAAAGAAACTTTCATTCGTTAAACAGATGGGTGAAGGTCGACCTTACTTCGGATCTTAGACCAATAAATTCGTTTCTGACCTGGTCGGAATACATTTCCAACATTTTCAAACGGTCAAATAGTACATTGTACCTCACGAGCCCGGTTTGATCCTCATATGTCGACAGGCTTACAGTGAGTGGCTTAGACACTTTTCAATCAAGACGTTTACATAGAGACCTCATTCTGACATTCCGAATTTTGAAATATAGACATGCAGTCGCCTTCTAAGACACCAAATAGAGTTTTTACAACTTGGAATAACTTATCATCTGCTATTATTGACGCCGAATCCGTTAGTATGTTCAAAAATAGACTTGATATGCTTCTAAACAATTAGAATTTTCTCTATATTTCTCATATTTTAAATCAATTTTAGATTTACCATTTTTACAATAAAATGGGCATATATAGTTCTTTATTTAAGAAATGTAAAAAATGCATCGCATGTGGATATTCAAAAAATACCAAGCTACATCATAATATACAACAGATCTGAAAAGGGGGCGGTGAACAATAAGGACAAATAATGTCCATCTCTTTTCAAATCTAATCTACTATTCTAAGTTAAAAGTTAGAAAATCGATTTTTAAGAGTTTCAAAATGAAAAAATAAAAAATAAACGAATCCGTATTCAAATGTTTAATTTCGTGTTAATATTCAGGGAATTTTTCAGACTGTGTAATAAGGTTTAATTTAACATTAGATGTCTCATCTTCTTTTATTGTATTCTCATTTGCCTTTATTATCTAACATTTATTTAAATTAAATTATTCTCAACATTCAAGATATTCGTAAAACAAAATGATCATACTCACTCATTCTCTGTTATCAAATAAGTGTTGAAAAAATACAATCTTGTTTTACTAAAACGAAATTAAAAAATTAATCTTATTATTTGTTAGATTTATCGTTCGTTTGTGTAAATCGTTTGAAAAACTGTTTAATATTATGTACACGTTTTTACGTTGTTCTACTACTTCTAATATGACTTCAATAAAAATGTATTTTTAACCGTATTTATAGGGTCCATTCAACATTTATTCAGCCGCAATATTAAACTATCATGCCCCGTATTTAGTATACCATAGAACAAATCGATTGATGAATTTTGTAGTTTTCATTATTTCTTAGGAGTAATTTTGAAAATGGAATTTTCAAATAATTTATAAATATTTTAGTAACAATCCAGTTAATAATAAATATGTTTTAGATATGTCTTAAAGCCGCAAAGAGAAGGAGGTGGCAATAACATATACGGAATCGAAATAAAAGAGTATATAAATAAAATGAAAGACAGTCAAGAAAGAACGGCATGGATATTGATGGAGCGGATATTTCCACCAATTACCAAAGGCTACATAGTACGACCTGGAGAGCCTGTCCCTCCCACGATATCAGAAGTAGTATCGGAATTTGGCATGTATGGTGTAATTATAGGGTAGGTCTATACAGTCATTAGGTGTTGGTTATTTAAAATAGATATTTACACTGAATTGAACAAGGTATATTATGAAAATGCAAATAACAAACAGAGACGACTGTTGCTCGTCGTGCTTCAATCTTTGTGTCTAATGTTGGAAGGTGGAAGTTATATTTGTCGATGCTCGCTGACAGTGATCTCTAGCTATCCGTAAACTAGAACAAATTCAAAGAACAGCATGTCTCAACATAACAGGAGCCATGAAAACAACACTGACCAGAGCGATGGAAGTCATTCTTAGTCTCAATCCCCTTGATATTTACATCAAGGAGGTTGCTCTGACGACAATGACCCACCTCCGCACGGTTGGAATAGAACCTGATATAGGATCTGGTGAGGCGAGACGTCACTTTTGGCAGGAGGTGCTCGATACACTCCCACTGCTTCAACCAAACATGGACTCCATCTCACCGAGATAAATTTTCCATAAGCCATATAAAGTTATAATAGAACAAATAGAAGAGCCAGAAGTGGCAGGTACGATTCATATCTACACCGACGGTTTTAAAACAAAACAAGGCTCAGAATGTGGAATATACTCCAGATTCTTGAACCTAAACATAAAATGGGCTGTGAGCAATAGTGCCAGTGTAGTTCAAACAGAGCTAACGGGGATTCTCATAGCAGCAAAAAAATAACCAGAAAGAATATCGCTGGAAGGAACATGCTCATCTATACAGATAGCAGACAAGCACTACTCACCCTGAACAGACCACGAATTTACTCAGGGTTAGTACTAGATTGTCACGAAACTTTGGCCGAAGTATCCATCAACAATGTGGTCACCTTAAGATGGATCAAAGGTCACGCCACATCAAAAGGTAACCGTCTTGCTGATTCACTAGCCAAGAAAGCAGCCAACCAAATACTTTTTGGACCTGGCCCTTCTATTGACCTGACAAAATCGGTAGTGACAGACCTAATCAAAGAACATTCCCTTGTGAAATTCAAGGAAAGATGGGATAAAACAAGAAACTGCAGAGTTGCCAAGGAGCTCTTAAGTTATTCTGACAACAATGCAGCAAACAAATTCTTGACTATGACTAGACAAAATCTGCGCCTAGTCACAGACATTCTGACTGGTCATTACCACGTACGAAAGCATCTCCATATCATGGGGCTGTCAGAATCCGCACTCTGCAGAGGGTGCGAACAAGAAGATGAGACCATCGAGCATATCCTTTAGGATTGCTCGACGCTCTCATTTATTAGAATATTTGTGTTCGGCGAGTATTGGCTAACACCGGCCGATATAAGAGAAGCACCTCTTGGCGACGTTGTCAACTACATTAAATATGTAGGCTGGCTCACGAGCTAGGAGGTACCTATCATCGTAGGTGGATGCACAATGGGCCTGATGAGGCCTAAGTGCCACCTTCCACACGCTACAGATACAGATGCAGTGATCTCTATCTGTTATGTGCATATTCCTATTCCCAAGCAACAGACCTGGTGCATACCTGTCTATATATTTTGACAACAGTGGATGTATTTGTGGCTCGTCATCTGGGTTTATGGATGTATATGACAACTGCTCGCAGTGATATAAAATATTCATTCATAATCATATTTGATCATATTAGAGACTGGATAATCTTGCTTTGATACTTTACAAGAAAATGTATATTTATTACATTGTTAAAAAATTAAAATAATAGGTAAGTACTGATAATTAAATATTTTATTTATTTTTCAGGGATTCTAAGAAAATTATTAGTAATAGACAAGTCGGTCATATGTTGAGGACAAAAACCGCAACAGCAAATGAGGGAGGAGTTGCTTCAGGTTTAGGGGCATTAGATAGCCCTTATCTTATAGACTAAGTACACATTTGCTCAGTTTATACATATTTATATTATTACAATATTTTTTAACTGTGTTGTTATTTAATCCTTGTACTACCAAGCTTTTTTTTAATCCTTAAAACGAACGTAATTTAATTATATCAAATTTAAATGGATCAGAAAATTATAAAGTAAACAATTATTTTAAGAAAAAATTCAAGTAAAATTTTGTAGCATTAAAATATAGAACAGAAAACAGGGTGACGACCAAAAAACGAATGATGTAAAAATATCAAAAAAACACGTGGGGTGCAAATGCACCCCGCTTGTTAGTACAAGGGTTAATTTGAAATTTTTTATTGTAAGCTTTAAACTGTACCTAAAACTTGATTAATTAATGTATGTACCAATTTTGTATATTCACTTTTCTATATAAAATAACTGATTTCTGACTTATTGTTTTAAACAGAATTGTATATTTGTAGACAAATCAGCTAAGCACTAAAGTGGGTCTCTAACAAGTATTAGAAATTAAAAATTAAAAAAAACCGACTTCAAAAACGTGCAGATGCCATCACCACATCTTAACCAAATTTATATGGGACCACCCCTGAGGTATCCCCTTACTAACAAAAAAAGAATCATATAAATCGGACAAGGTGGTAAAGCATTATCGCTAAACATACATAAAAATGAAGAGTTTGAGGATTTTTTCATGGACCCAATTATTAGATTTTGACCAAATTTATATCGGACTGCCCCTGAAGTAGCCCCTTTCTAACAAAAAAAGAATTATTAAAATCGGACACCGTGTTAAAAAGTTATAGCTGAACATACATAATAAAAAAAAAAAAATCGCGACGAATTGAGAACCTCCTCCTTTTTTGAAATTATTGTGACTATTTTGTCCTTTCTACGTTATTATACTTTTCACACAGTAGTCTTTGAAGGGCAATATGCGTTTAGTGCGTCCGTCCTATGTTACGTTTTTTCTCCGCACGAAAAGTCAAAAACGGAAAACGATATAAATTTGACAATTTCAGAAAAAATAAAGCTCTATAAGGGAACGAAGTCTGTTGATTTTGAAAAAATCTGAATAAAAATGGAGTGGTTAATAATGGGGCTGAAATATTTAAAAAATCCTAACTCTAAAAGAAAAATGGTATCAAGTTGTAATTTTTAGCAAAACCAAGCTCTATAATGGGACAAAGCCTAATGATTTTGAGAAGATTCTGATTAAAAATGGAGGGTTAACTAGGGTTGAATTTAAAAAAAATCACAAATCAGAAAATAAAAGCGATATCAACATGAAATGTTTAGTAAAAATCAAGCTTTGTAAGAAGATAAAAAAAATCAAAATAAATTGGAGAGTTAAGGGGGTTAAAATATAAAAAAACCCTAACTCAAAATAGAAAAATTTCGTTAAATCTTGAAATTTTTAGCAACACCCCCCACTCCGACTGTCACAGCGGTGCGGCGTTAAACAATATTAACTTCTCATTTATTCAATAAAAGAAAATCGAAAAATCGAAAAATCGAAAAATCAAAAAATCGAAAAATCGAAAACTCGAAAAATGGCAAAATCGAAAAAACAAAAAATCAAAAAATCGTAAAATCGAAGAAGAAATTCCGTAACGAAAATATCTGTCCTCTTTTAGACACAATTTCGGAAAAACTGAATTTGAAAATGAATAATAAGAATCCACAACAAAATATGGGACCACCATTGACGCGGTATTTTCCAGATATTTAGAGGGATATCAAGTCTCAAACTTATGTTTCTTATTTCAGTTACTATAAACCTATAGTTTCAATGATAAAAATTCCTGAATAACCTACATGTATTGTAAGATAATAAAAATATTTTAAACAATATTAACTTCTCATTTATTCAATAAAAAAAAAAAATTGTTTTCTTATCGGTCACCACGCTCAAAAAGTGTAACTTGAATTAATATCAAAGAAAAAACTTGAATTAATATCAAAGAAAAAAAAAATACTGCATAAATAAAATAAATAAATAAATAATTATAATTGCATAAGTTGATAAAAAATGCTATGCAATAGCTTTACCACGGCAGTCCCTGGGTGCCACATGTATTTTTTTTTATTTATTATTGGGTTTTAATTAGTGGTATAAGCGACAGATAAATTACTGGGTAGTAAAACAAGGAAAATGTAAGGGACTTTTTTTTATTGAACAAAAAAGTACGTCGATCTGCGTCAGCTTTTATGTACAAAATCCTATACTTCTATTGATACTGCCACAAACCATGTGGATTAAATGTTTGCAGTGTTTTTCCCAAAGGCTTTTTACCACTCCCATACATTCTTTAGCTCCCCCTATCCAATTTCGTCACAACGCTGCAGGAATATTTCATTTTAATAGTTTTGTTTGTTTACTAAAAAAATAGAGTAATGTGTTAGTTTTTAAAGTATGTACTTAAGTTCTTTTATACTGGATTTTTCCAATAAATAACAAAAAAATGTACAAAAAGTATTATTTTTTATCAATTAAATTAATAAACAAGGCGTTATGCAAGATTTTAATGATAATGCAATTTATAAAGTGACATTACGTATATCGGCGTCAGTTATCAAAAATGTCAAAAATTCAAAAATATCCCTCGCATCTTTGTAATCTATAACACCAATATTTTCAACTCTTGTGACCAAATTCTCAAAATTTTCGAAGTGCCATATAACGTTCTACTTAGATTGTTTTACCGTTCAACGTGTTAACAGGTTCAAACCATATGGTTAAGCCACTTATGCCGTTTTGTCAAAACACCGTCAATATATATTATGACAACATAAATCTCCCAAAGACAATTTTTTTTTATTAAATCCATTTTGAGGGATTTTTAAAAGAATTCACACACCTATACTTGATTTTATTCTTTATTTATTGTACTTATTTATTGTTCAACAATGGGATTTTTTCAGGACAGGGCGTTGTCTTTAGAAAATGGTATAAATTGTTTTAATTTCTCGTGTTAACCTTATGAACTTGATCATTTGTTTTTAATTTATTAAGATTATAATAAATAAAAACACCAACAGGAAATGAATTCCAATTCTTAAATAATGTGACAAATTTAAAAATGAACAATAAAGGAAAAAGAGAAAAACTCAAAGTCCGTGTCCAAAAACAACTAGCAACTATATCCCTCCTTAAAACAGTAACTCTTTAACTTTGATTTTGCGTCCTAAGGAGAAAGTCATTCTTGGACCGGTTTCGTTAAATATCTACACACTCTATGGTAGAACAGAAGTAAAAGTTGGAAATGCTTTTGCCAGTTCTCCCACTTTATACACATACATTGACAGGTTGTCAGCGGATCTCACCGAAGTGGACACGATACATTGGCGTACAAAATTATTTTATAGATGTTTAATAACAATTTCGAGTACCTAAATAGTTTAATAAATTGTGAATAGCTGTTGAAATTTTGTAAAATTATAATTTGAATATTATAATACATGTTTAATAATTATTTATAATCCATAAATACATGCGATTGTCCGGTTCCGCCGATAACAATTTAAAATTACTTATTCTATGAAACGACAGGTAAACATTACTGTGAAATTCTCGGAGCCGCCCGACGTGGTTTGACGTTTACCCCCTCTCTACCTACCAAAAGACTTTTCAACTTTTACTTTCTCTATACGAGTGAATTTTGTATTGTCAGCAGACTCTGTTAAAGAATGGAGTCGAGATTGTCATTTATTACTTGCTGAAGAGTCCTAATAACCACCTCACATAAATCAAAGTATGTGAACCACCTACCCAAACAACTTTGTTTGTTTGGCTAATTCTTAACATCATCCCTAATAAGCCGCATTATGTTGCATTAAAGGGTCGTCAGTGAGCCAAACAAAAGCAAATCATTCTGTCATTGATTAAGATATAAACGTTTAATAGGTATACAGTTTCTTGTAGATAAACTTTTAAACTTAATACAAAAAGTTTATGTAGCCTTTCTTCATAGTGGAAAACCTACACCCCTAAAACGGCACTGTCAATGACGGTATGTATGAAAATCATTGGAACCAGCTCTGGTTTTGCTAGTGGGTGTGAAAACGCTCTTAAAGGTGAAGGCCAATAATAAAATAAAAGATGATCGAAAAGAGAAGAAGAAACGAAAATCGTATTAATTTTTAGGTTACCTGTATTTTGATTATTTGAATTATTATTTTTGTTTTAATTATTCGACAAAAAATTGATCTAATTAATCTCATTAGCCTTACCAAATGTCGTCTATGACATTTGGTCAAAAGACGTTTCAACCTACACCACCAGAAAAGGGCAGTTTTCCACTTGATCACGAAGGAGTCTGTAGAAAATTGATGGTTAGTTACATAAAATGTTTATATACTAATAACAACGATAATTCCGCTTGCCGAGAAGAAGCCAAAGAATATTTAGGTTGCCGAATGGAGAATAATCTTATGGCAAAAGAGGAGTGGACAAAATTAGGTTTCTCTTCAGAAAAAAATTAATTGTAAATATGGTTAAAATACTTATTGGCTGTACAGGAAGTGTTGCTACAATTAAGTTACCTTCTTTAATAAAACAACTCAAAGATGCAAATATTGCCAGTGACAAAGAAGTAAGATGTTTTTATAAAATTTGACCAATTCCTATACACCTACCTACATACTTATAGATAAAATAACAATAATATTATGTTTAATACAGTAACTAATTTTTTTTGGATTTTTAGGTGAAAGTTTGTCTAACAAATCCCGCAAAACATTTTTTGGAAAATGAAGACTTCAATAAAATTATAAATGTTTACATGGATATAGATGAGTGGGAAGCTTGGTCAAAACGGGGAGATCCAGTTTTACACATAGAACTTGCTAAATGGGCAGATATTTTATTAATTGCACCTTTAGATGCAAATACAATGGCAAAAATTAGTCATGTAAGTAGCTACTAACCCTAAGTAAATTAGTGATGACAATTTTGGTTCCACTGACAATTACAGTGACAAGTATTTTTTTTTTTTGAATGCGTTTTATTCGCCTCGTTTCCATAAATTTATTAAGACTAAAGATAAGGAGGTGAATCGGCATACACAAAATACGGTCCCAAAAAACGAACGCTAATTGAGCTTTTAAGATTCACCGCAGGGGCGCTGGTGTTGCTAGGCACTGTTAAAAATACATGGCTTCTTACGGGATTTTTACATAATTTTGTAAAAATAATAAACTTATTTATTACTAAATAAAGCACAGAACATACTGTTGTATTTATTTCTAAATAGATCCTGCATGTTTTAATTGATAAATTATTTATTGTTATCTATATAAAATGCAAACTAGGCAGGTATGAGCAAATTCAAAAAGGTTTGTTAAATGGTGAAATTAGTACATCAATTTTGTGGCAATTTTTTTTTTTTCATTATACCTAAATATAGATATAAGAGCAAAATAAAACACAGTTAACAGATTTTTTATTGTTATAATACAAGCATAAAAGGATATTTGGGAATATACATGGTATTGCGTTTTAATTTCAGCCTTCCCCTTTTTATTTTGCCATTAATAAAAAGAGTCTCATAATATTTGGAAATATATTCTAAAAAGTGTAGCTCACAAACAGCATCATTTCTAGAAAGTGCTTTATCGACACTAGAAATAATATGCTGCCACTGTTCTAAACGTTTAGGATCCTATAAAAAACATTTACAATAGGTTTCAACAAAAAAAATAACAGTAGTAACTCTTCATCTAACATTACAACTCTGAAAAACAAATTTTCTTTTCTAGTAAGGTAAATTTAATGTGTAATCATTGTTGTTTGTAAGTCAGGATTGATAACTTGTAATATTTTATATTATAGAAATTTGTATTAAAATATACTACACTCCATATGATACGGATTGTGACTAGTTTACAATAAATATTATGTTTAGAAATAAACATATTTTTTTACTAACTTTAGAAAGACTTTGAATTGAATTTTCTTTAGTTTTACATCCGAGTTATATCCCGTTTTACAATCTGAAATGAAGTAGATCTTGCTTTGATGTTTTTTGTCACTTGTGTTACTGTATTAAGAAAGCCTAATAAGCTTACTTCCTACTAGCAGTAGTTAACTTGGATGGGGATGAATGTCATGTTATATTAAAGAGAGTTGTCAATATATCACATACTCAGTAATAATTTGCATATTTAAACCTAAAACTGCCCAAAATGGCGCCCGTTGTATGTCGAGCTTCTTAAATGACGGTGCTACTCCAACGCAAAGACTTACCGTCATTTGGAAAGCTCTACATATGGAGGGCGCCATTTTGGGCTGTTATATGATTAGAAGTTTAAACATGCAAATTTCGAATTATGCCACTTTATTACTAAGTGTGCAATATGTTTAATTTATAAGGATTGCAATATTTATTTTACAACTTATTACATGGTGCAGTCAGTGGTTATTTAGTTGTGGGACAAAATTGGAGAAGTATTGGAAATAAGAAGTAACTGAAGTTACTTAAATGTGCAAGTGGTCGAGTTTATGTGAAAAACAGAAGACATGCCAAGAGAGTTAATCAAGAAGGAAATTCGATTCAGCTCCAATGCCATCCCGTCTCTGTTTTGTGAGAGAAGTGTGTGAAGAGAGCTTAATAAACTTCTTACTATACTCTGTTTTTAAACTAGGAGGAGCGAATTGAAAAGACGCATTTACACAGGGAAAAGTAACTAGATTTGTTACTAAGAGCGAGTTTCGAAATATAGTCGTGTTCAAAATTTATGAAATAATTATCTTTATCGGCCTTAGTCGGCGAACGGCCAATGAGCGGTTAAGAAACGAATAAATGTCAGAAGTAATTTTTTAATTGGTCCCAGACAACGGTCGCAAATTTCACATTGTGATCTGAAATGTGTGTCTAAAACGAAATGTCACTGTCAAATTAAAGTCAATATGGTTGTTGATTGATGTCAGAAATACTTTTTTCTTGCTTTTGAAATCGACTTTTTGAGAATAACTATGATCTTTTTAAAATGGATATTAAATATTTAAGAAAATTGTTAATGGAATATCCAGATGTAGCCAGGTTAGTATAAAATATAAAGATCTGTTTACATTTTTAAGGATAATTTGTTATAGGTATAAAAAGTAAAAGTTAATCAGTGAATGACAAGTGGATCACACAGTAACTGGTATCTCTTCTATCAGTAATGTGGATATTATGGCTTATTTAGTGTTAACCCATGGTTAATCCGCTAGAGGGCAAATAAAGACATTCAAAAGTTTACAGGCCTATGAGTCAGAATTTGATTTGAAAACTGGAGCCAACATTTTCATAACACTACATGTCCTATATACTACTATATACTACCTATATATTAATTTTAAGTATTTTTAAAATATTTTTTGTGAAAGTAAGTTAACTCATTGTGCCAAATTAAGATTATCCCTAAAGTAGTAGATGGTGTTTTAAATGTTATAACAATTTTGTAAATAGTTTAAGCTTGCTTAAATATTTAGTTACATTTTAATCATTTTGGTTAGAAATTCATCAATTTTTAGTTTTAAAAAATCAGTAATAAAAATATTTTTTTCTAAAATACTTCGGAATTCATCTCTGCATGGTAATCTCCCATCTTTTTACCTTCAAAAACCAATAATGCATTTTCTACAAAACCTTCAGAATCAGCATGTAAAATAATAAGGTGTCTTCCCTTTCTTGTAAGGCTTTTCAGGAATTGCTACCTTTAATAGTACTCAGTGTAGAAGGATCCATAATTGTAAATTTTCAATAAAATTGCTTACTGAAGAACTATTATTTACGAAATAAAGTAAAAAACTAATAGCGGATTCGACTGGCTGCATTAATGCGCATTTAGTTCGACTTTTTTGAGTGGTGTCTGTTCGACTGACAAAACCTAATGAATTAAAAGTCAATTATTGCATTCGACTCAAATTGCTCGGTATCAAGGCATAGTGAAATTTTTGTTCGACTGGCAGGCGTTCTTGCTCAAAGTTCAAATTTTTTGGAACTGTACTTTTTTCCAGTGCCAGTGTAATTTAGGAGGTTAGGAATTATTTAATATATTTAAATATATATATCTTTGTTTTTATTATTAGTGAGAATGGAAAATCTTTGAAAGTAATAGAAATTTAATTTTTGGTTTGGCAACTATAAATAAATATCGTTAAAACTTTGTTAGAAACCTGAAATGTCAAGGGCTAACTGTGCCAGTCAAATAACGATAAAGATGCGCTACACCAATGTCGAATTCTAGCTCGTGCTTGCTGTGTACACTGCTAGATATAAATTTGAATTATAAAAATGCTACCCAAAATCAATTCAGAACTAAAAGCGCTTTGTCATCGAGCAAGAGCATTTGAGTCGAATCCACTATAAGTAATGGATGAGATATCAAATTATAAAATGTCAGAACTGTCAACAATATCAATTATTAGCTGATGTTCATGCTAAAAAGTAATGTGTGAAACTGACTGTAATCTGACCAATCAGAAGGCTACAGGCCTTAAGTTCAAATCGCTCCTCTTAGTTTAAAAACAGAGTATAGCAGTAGTTAATTGGGATGGGGATGAATGTCATGTTATATTAAAGAGAGTTGTTAATATACATTTGATTTATAAGGATTGCAATATTTATTTTACAACTCATTACAGTTACTTGTACTCAGGTACTTCTTTTCACATGATTTTGATTATTTTCACCAATTTAAAATAAAAATACTTTATTTCACATTGACTTACATAAAAAATTAACGGCGCTGACGTTCGACTTGCCAACCATAGTCAATTTGGCGAACTTTATAAAAAGAAAGTTGGAAATTTGACCATTGCCGATTCGCCTCCTCTCTAGTCTTCATACATTATACAGGGTGCAGCAAAAGTCAGTTAACGCTACCAAAAATAATCGAGCACGTCTTTATCGCATTTGCAATAATTAGATATATCATGCTCAGTGGGGGGAGGAGGCAAATATTTAGTGCAGCCATACTCAACCATTTTTTTCTTTGGGCCATATACGTATGTTTGCTATGTTACAAGGGCCGCAATATCTTTGGATGATGACCCTTTATTTAGGCCCCCATTTAAAATTTGTTAGTGGAAACCTTTAATAAAAAAACCACAAAACAAATATATCTCGTAGGGTTACTGCAAAAACAAGATAACTCACATTTTTAGATTTTCGAGGAAACGCTCTTCAAAAGTTTAAAATGAAATAAAAAATCAGTTTAATAAACAATTCCAATGAAAAAAAAAATGGAATTTAAAACAAGTCTTTATAAATATAAACTAAGAATCTATCGATTGGGAACAAAAAAAAGAAGAAACGTCACTTAACTTATTTTAGCTGCCTACAAAGTGGGATTCTCATCGTTCGATACGGCACGTATCGAGACGCCTATCTTCGTTCGACAGACTGCAATTCTTATGTAATGTCTCTCTCTATTCGATACGTATCGTGTCGAGTTTGCACACAAGAACACATGTGCACTGTGCAAGTCATAATAGTCAATGTCTGTCACTAACTTCTGTGGATACAGGTAGATTCTGGATATTAATGCTTAAATTCATCAGGGGTAGTAAATAATTTTTCTTGGCATTACTTACATTATTTGGAACTTTTCAGAGCCTTTTTTCACCCTTTTAGGCATCCCTCTGCTGGTATGGCTTGGGTTTTTCAAGCAAGTGCTTCTGGTTGTTTTAACGTGCAAACAATATGGAGACAAACGTCAGCGTCCCCACTCGTTACAGCTTGACCAATCGATCATTCACCATGACTATTCGGGCATCACGTGCTATCATCCATTGATTTTTAAAGGTTAGCCGTATCGTGAAAAGAAAGGGTGGTGACGTACTCGCCTTGTCGATTTCGGACCAATAGAAAGAGACCAGAGACAGCTCTAGGCAAAACAAATGGCTTGGGCAAAATATTGAAGCATTTCAACAAATATTTTCACAAAAATAAGTATTCTGGCCTTTATCTTGTTTCGGCAGAAACGCTATTAGGGATCGGACTAAACACATTTCGCAAAAATAAGTATGTATCTTATCTGGATTTGGTAGACACACTATTAGCAATTGAACATAATGTTGTGATTATATTTCGGTATAAATGCCACTCATCTTGTTTGTACATGTGTATTAATGTATTAATATGGAGTTAGTTTTGGTTGACCATCTTTTTATCATGAATATAGACTTCGTTTAAGCCATATATTATTTGAACTATTTTGGAGAAGAAAGTGTACTTAACTCGAAAATGCAGAAAGGGAGATATTTTATTTTTGCAGTAAGCCCGTTATCCAAACGTTTATTTAAAAACTAGCATGATATTTAGCACAGCAACCGATAAATGTTTTCGCGAGTTTCGCTCAAGATTTTAAAAACGAACCAATGTTTTAAAAAACACCTTAATAATAGTGTATCGGGCCGCAAAGAAAAGCTTGAAGGGCCGCAGGTTGAGTATGGCTCTGATTTAGTGTTTAGTATTCTCATGTCGTTTATCCGAGTTACATTCTCGATGGCAGCACAGCTCCCTATAAATTACAACACATTGCCGAACGGGTATGCCTCTTGTCAGTTTACATACGTTACATGCTTTTCTAAATGAACAGTTGTTTGGCGATTGGATAGGGAGAAAAAGCAGAATCGAATCATCCACGCGGTCGCCAGACTTGACGCCGTATTACTCGTCGTGGGGGGAGTACTTAAAGATAAAGTCTTTGCCACTCCAATACGGAATATAATGCATTTACGAGACAGGATTGAAAACGAATTTGAAGCTCTTCCTGTCAATGCAGAATTTTGTAGGAGGACCTGTTTTTCCGTGTATAAGCGATGCCATGAATGTATTGATAAAGAAACTGTAAGGCATGGACATTTTGTATCTTTTTCTAAGTCTTTTAATGATAAACCATGTTTTTGTATGCCGTCATTTTTTTTTTATTATTATTATGTGGTTAACTGACTTTTGCCGCACCCTGTATATTGTTTTCGAAAATTTATATAATCCTAAAGTAGATAAACTGCATCAAGTATATAATCATTTAGTAACCAATTACATACCTTTAAACTGAGAAAACTTAGCAGTTTTTTGTCCACAAATTAAAAATTCACGAAAGATTAAAGAAACAGAAATATGTAATAATTTTTCTGATTATTGGTTTGTTTGAACAAAATTTGAATTACTTAAATACTTTTTATATAGATTTGCCTTTATTCAATGTATTCATTTTATAAAGATCTGAACATTGAAATGTATTTTTTTTTAATTTGGTGATTGGTTTTAAATCGATATAATTTTAAAAGAATCATATATTTTAGGGGATTTGTGACAATCTACTAACATGCATTATCAGAGCCTGGGAATTATCTAAACCACTAATCTTTTGCCCAGCAATGAACACAAAAATGTATGAACATCCATTAACCTCTCAACAAATTTCCACTCTTAAATCCTTTGGATATCATGAAATTCCTGTGATTTCAAAAGAACTTATGTGTGGAGACACTGGCTTTGGTGCCATGGCTGAAGTAGCAACAATTGTAGAATTTGTTAAAAATATTGTTGATAATAAATTATAGTCATATTGTTTGAGTTTGATTTTTATTAAATTGAACCCCATTCTTATTCCTATCTAGAAATATTTAAAGTATTAAGGTTTAAAGTTGGTATTATGAAAACCCTACACCTACTTAACATTGGATACACCAAAGATCAAAGCAAAATAGTAGGTACTTACCGCCTTTTTTAATTTATTAATCTGTGTCAGGTAGGATTTCTTTAAACACGTTAACCGCCGTCTCGGCCAATATTACTGAGAAATTAGCTCTCTTCCAGGCCGACGCGGTCTATATGACAGAGAAATTTTTTGAAACAATTTCTAACTTTCACACAAGGCCGGCTTGGTCAATATGAACGAGACACATTTCCGAGATTTTAATTGTAGGGGTGATGCATATTTGAAAATTTCTTACATGGCCCAAATAATGAAAACTTTGAACTCATATGGAATAAGCTTCCGGTCCGAACGTAAATTGCAATAAAAACACGCTGCCAGGTTCTAGAAATCGAGGTTAACTTATTCTAGGTTACGGAAAAATGAAAGCCGTAAAAAGCACAAATAATGCAGAGAAGGACTTAGGTTAGAGCAGGACCGGAATGATCGAAAATATCTCTCATAACAGCAACATTAAAAATTAAATTGAAAGATGACTTTGTAGTCAACATAAACCCATATCTGCTAGTGAAAGACAAATAGTTCAGAACATAGTTGATGAACTGATTCAAAATGACATTATTCGAGAAAGCGAATCATCAGTTACAAGTCCTACCATACTAGTACGCAAAAAGGAAGGATCATACAGAATGTGTATCGATTTTCACGAACTTAATACGCACTTTATTGAAGATCAATTTCATCTTCCACTAAAAGATAATTAACTTTATAGATTTGGGAAAGATCGTATATTTATATCATTGGTCATGTCAGAGTTTCACCAAATACCTATTGATGTCGATTCAATAGAAAAGACTGCATTTGTAACGCCAGAGGAGAATACCAATTGGCTTGGCCAATGCCCCAGCCGTTTTCAACAAGCCATATATAAAGTATTGGATAAACTTAGACAGTATGGTGCTAGTTTACCTAAATGACATTTTGATACTATCACGTGAAGCCGACTCTATTCTTTGTTTACTACCTTACCCACGCTAAGTCTAGCGCTGGCCATACAGAGACAAATGCACTCCTTCGAGAAGCTACCGGAGAAATCGATGCGCGGCAGCTGAGTCATAGAGAAAGAAATTCCAGAGTTTCTAGACTGTCGAGAATGTGCTAGTGCAGAGCTGGCTTTATATGAATAACGCGAGTTTGTCGATAGACGTGGAAGTTTCATTATGTGCTGTATAGAAAAGATAAATTGAAATAAATTAGAATTATTGTGAGTTATAATAGAGTATAAGTATTGGATAAATTAATTAGTCTGTTATAAATAAATTATAAACTATTTTTAAATTAAAGAATCGTTACAATACCTTTAGAAAGTGATATCTAAAGAATTAATGATCGTCTTGGTAAAGCAAAAATGCAATCAGTTCAGCCAACGAGAAGTGTCGTTACAGCATTAGCTTTGTTAAACGAGATTTTATTCCAATTCATCGAGGACATTTTAAATACCAGTTCAGAAAAATTTTTAAAGTTATGGGCCTAACTCCAGAGGGACGTTAAGAACTATGAAGAGTCAGAAAGTCCTCAATTACCAAAGCTGCAAAGGAACAATTAAGAGGATGGCCGAACGACTGGTCTCTTAATCTGGATATGCCTAATTTCTTAGAGATCTATTGTGCCATTTGAATGCTCTACTCCTTCCCATTCATCATGAGGTTAATGTTTTAATCTTACAAAAAAATACACGACACTTGTTAGATATGTTATTGTAATTAGTAAAGTGTGTATATTTTTATGTTTATTTTATTTGTGTTGAAAGCTTGTATGCTTTGCGTTTGTTTTATTTTTGTGTTGACAGCTTAAAAGCTTTGCACTGTTGAAAGCTTGTATGCTTTGCGTTTGTTTTATTTGTATTGAAAGGTTGTACAACGTTTTTGTATTAAAAGTTTCTATGCTTTACAGGGTTGAAACGGTGAAAGCTGGTACATTATACGTTTATTCTATCTGTTTTGATGTGAAAATGTTGATAGCAAAATGCTTGTTTTTATAAGGCGTTTTTGTTTCTTTTTTGGCATCTGTTACGTAATCCTATTCTTACTTTTGCCAGATTGAATAGCTACATCATTAAGAAGCTATGCAGAACATCAAGCAAAAGAATATACCTAATTTTTAATAAGTGTGTAGTGAATCATTAAAAAAATATCGAAAGAAACAAGAGCAGGGGTATGAGGATGGAATAATGTGCTCAATAGACGAGCAGAAGCGACCCAACAAATTTTGAAAAACATTGAGAAGTGACTCTTTTAAAATCTAATTCGTGCAGTTTTTAGTGAAACACTGGAAAACAAATGTTCTTCCGGATATTTTGGGAGACAAAATTCTTAAGAGTAAATTGTGAAATTTACTGATACTATAATAATTATATTTCATATATTTAAACCACCATAAAATACAAATGTTGTGATACATGCACCTGATACTGATATATTTAAAAAAATATTTCGATGAATTGAGAACCTCCTCCGTTTTTGTAGAAGATTAAAAATAGCATTGGGAAATATGCACAAACGAACAGAGTGCAAATGTTGTACATATCTTTAACAGAAAAGTAGTTGACGATATGTACACCAATTTAGGAGAACATACTGTCTCAAGGTATTCTTGCCTATCATGCTTTAAAAGACAGTGGTTATACCGCATCATTTGCTCGAAAAGATTAAATAAAGCTTTTTAATATTATTGAGAAAGAACTAAATATTGCCAAATTTTTTGATTCTTTGCGTCATTCACAGGATATATCAGAAGAGCAAATTCATGGCGTTGAAAAATTCATATGCAGGATGTATGGTAGGCATAATGCTAATAGTGTGAATAAAGCAAGGATAGATTTATTTCTTAGGAACCATGGCGGTACTGTGTCCCAAGGAAGAAATCCATTATATTAGATTAAATATTTTGATGTGAGCTTGATTCCACGTTGTCAAAAGGTACTAATAGATAAAATAACAAGGGTTAATCAAGTTTGTGTCATATAGAATTATGCAACAGAGGCAAATCATTTTTTTTTTTTTAATTCTGAAGAGCATGACTGGCTTTTAGTCGTTTGAAGATACCAACTGAAATGGTTTATTAGATCACAAATACCTTCTACACTTGATGAGATTTGCAAAATCCCAGCCCCGGACATAGATGAAGTAGTAATAAAGATGAATAGTACGAGTACATTAAAATTGATTTTTTATGTCCTCATAAACATTATTTATTCATTTGAATTGCATGCTACACAGATTGTGAGTTTTATTTTTGCTTCTATTTTTTGCGATAGTATTAACTAGATACTAAAAGTAATATACAGAGTTGCACGAATGTCCGGGATAAAAGTATCTGTTCAACCAGTAACTTAAAAAAAAACGCTGAAACACGTTAGTTGATTTTACATTGGACGTATTTGTTGCCAATAAAATGAATTTTTTTCTTCAGTCCCCTTAGCTGCAACCCTACCCAACTTTTTTTTTTCTCAAATTTAAAGATATGTCGTGTGTAGGATCATTGAAAAAAGCTCGTGAAAATGGAATCTCACCATACCTTTTTTCTTTTACTTATATGGTAATTGGGAAATAAGCAAAAATTCTTTTAAAAACAAAAAAGTTACAAATACCTTTTTAGTGATATCGACGAATGAATTAACGTAGCAGATGTTGAAAATGTCCTGCGTCCTCTACTTGGCTCCCAGGCAATTGTTGAGCAGTGTACTTCAAAAAGGAACACAGTTGTTGCATTTTTTGTACCAAGTTTTTTGCCTTGATAAATATTTTGGCTCAGTTTTTAGTAATTGAATTGAAACCTCTATTTTATTAATTTGTGTATCTTGAAAGTGTTCAGAGAAACCACGTATCGAAGTCTTGATATTGTTGGGATGTGAGCATAGAATGCGAAGTCAAAGTGAAGTGTGTACTTTATTTAATGCAAAATATCCGTAAAATCACATTTCACAGGGTACTGTTAGTAAGTTATACAAATTTGAAGAACATGGTACAGAAGTGGCCGGCCACATCTTTTAGACGAAAATAAAAACCCGTCTATAGAATTCCGAATAGCCTCAGCCACTCTAATTCTGTTTTTGAGATCTTTAATATTAGCTGGGGCCTATTTAGATAAACCTTGTCTTTCAGATATCCCCAAACAAAGATATCTAATGGCGTTAAGTTTGGGGAACTTGGAGGCCATTCAATTGTACCACGTGCCCAGAGGTTATTTTAAATAATTATATTAGGCATACTTTAATGTTGGTAGCAATCAATTTAGGCCCGTCTGTCCTTTTAATGCGACCGTCTGCCGAAGTTTTCTTTATTCGTATTCTTTACTTATGCAAGAATAAATAATATGTCAAAAAAAATTGAAGGTAACTTGTGAGGGAGTTGACGGCTTTTTTTGACATTTTTTTATAGCGCTTATTTTAAAAATGCAATCTTTAATTAAGAACAGTTATAAGAGATTGTCAATTTTAAGAAATTTTGCAAATCATTAATCCAAATAAGTACTCTTTATAAGCTAAAATTTGCAGTTAAAAACGAAAAATTTTTCTTTTTTAACTTTAATTAGTAACATATTTAATAATATTTTGACACAAACATAATGGTGGTAATCTTTGAGGAAGTTAATGGCGTTTTTTTACTGACAGCGTCTGCTCCGAAATCGACCATTTCCAACGGCAGACGCATACGATTTCAATTTACTTAAGATTTTAGGCCATTTTAAAAAACATTTATGTTGCTAATAATTGGGTATGAGCGATTTTTGATTTTTTTTTTATTTTAAATTTAATAAACCCAGACAGCACACCAAATCCTTTGGATATCTACTGAACATCCCAATATCCAATGAATGTCCAGTCCATGGTAGATATCTATTTTATATCCATGAA